TATCCAATAATTATGAAGTTGAATCAGATGTATATATTTTATACTTCTGAAAAAAAGAAAATTCTAATAGTTATGCAGCAGTTTGGCTTAAAGCCATATAAACATTTACACATCATTATAATAACATTTTATAAGTCAAAAGAATAAGCAACTGGTAATTTTTAGTAAAACTTTAAATGATCAAGAATAAACTAATACTAAAAAAGTACCTTGAAGCTTAGATCATAAAATTAAAGGTTATTTTATGAAAACTAAATTTCCGAATTGATTAAAAATTTAAAGAAAAAATGTAGAATGAAATAATTTTGTAAAAATCCAGCGTATCATAAAAACAAGATATAAATTCTCACAAAATAAAGTATTAAATGTTAATCAAGTATTGATTCAGAAATTTAATTAAATTTTAGGGTATCTAGTTTAAAAAGCAGAATTATTTAAATTTTGTCCTCAATATTTTAAAAATAATAAATTTTGAGCAAATTATATCAATTCGAAATTTACTAAGTATAATTGGAATCATAAAAAATAAAAAACTCCTTTATAAATAATATGAGATAATAATTATTTATATTTCTTAAAATCCAACAAAATATGTAAAATTTACATCAAAACACTTAATTTGTATTAAAAAATAAGTACATAATTTTAATGAATGATCATTAATAAAGTGTTAATTGTATTAAAAACATCAGAAAATAATATTTCTAAATAGATTGTTCATATTAAGCTTTTATATTATTGGAATTTTCAACAACATTTTATCAATTAAAAAAGAACTTGTAAATAAATAAAATTTGAATAAGATTTTATATTTGATGTACTTTATATAAATACACTTCATTTGGCTTATTGTTATTATTATTATTATGTTTATTAAATTCTAATATTGGCATTGTAAACTCTAGCAATATTAACTTCAATAGTTGTGATTTAATCCTTTAGAAATACTATATCTTCATCCTAAATGAATAAATGAGAATACAAATTTTCTAAGATTAGAACTGGCATTTTCTTTATTGGATGATAAAAGGGATTTAGCTTCATTGAATTCGAATTCAACCATAACATTGGCTCCTAACCATAGAGCAACAGTCTTATTTTCTTTAGGTAAAACAGCTTTGGAATAAATTGTGTCTGTAATAAGAAAGTCAACAACTTCATCTTCTTTTTGTTTTTCTAAATGTTCTACAATATTCAAAGCTCTTTCAATTTCTGGTAATTTATTTTGCATAGATTCTCTTTACTTTACTAATTATGCCTCCATAAATTTATATTTGCTAAACTCATTCTAAATTAATTTTTACTTATATGCTTCTTATAAACTTTCCATTAATCTTTGGACCGAGTTTTTTGAGATTAATTCATCAATATTTTCAAAGAAAATAGCTTCTGGTATTTTTCTATTGTTTTATGCTTACTTTGTTACAAGGTCCATATATATATTAATTATGATAATTATTTAATATATTTATAAATTTACATGTCTAATAATTAAACATTCAAAGATTTTCCAAATTAAAGCCATATTGAATTAAAATTTAATACAAAAGATCAGCATGGATTGGAAAGAGAAGAAGCCTTACAAAAGTACAGAAGAAATGTAATTATAGATAATTTGACAATTTAGATTAATTTACTTACTAAAATATTTGCATATGATGTAGACCAACCAGAATCGGAGAAATAAAATGATATTTTTTAATCAGAAAAACAAAATGGACAATATCAAATAAAGACTCATCTTTTAGAAAGCATGAGATCATCTTTAATTCATTTATAAAATAGGCATAAAGACACTATCGAATAATTTAAAAAACGAAACGAATTATTTAAATAACGAATCAACGAAGATAGTAAAATAAATACTCAGGAAGAATTTTAATAGTTCATAAATGAATTACAATCTGAAGATTTGTTATGTGATTCTCATCCATTTCTAGATAAAAGATCTTCATTTTATATGTAAACAAATCTTTAATAGCCAATTTAAGTATGAAATGAATAATTTATTTTTAGATAAGTTAAGAATAATGTTTAGAGTTGAAAGAACAATTAAAGGATGATTAATGTATTCTTCTAAGTTGACTATTAAATAATTATCTATAATTTAATTAATAAATTCAAGTTTATATCCAATTAATTTTCATTTAAATCTTCAATTTATTTTATTTTCAAGAAAAATTCAATAGAAATAATTCTAAATCCATGAAATTTCAATCAAATTCTAAATATTAAAGATAAATGTAGTAAAAAAATTTCTCTAATTTATAATAAAGTATGTTTATGGTAAGAATTTCATTTGATTAAGAAAAATTCTATTTTAATAAAAATTATTAATGTAATTAAATGAAGCTAAAGCAATTTTGTTTAATAAATTGTATGAAAGGGATATTTGCATCAGATGCATCTTTAGATTGTTTAAAATTACTGAGATAAATGCTTATAAGGAGACTTAATAATTTATCTAAATATTATTCGATGTAGGAAAAATGATTGGAAAGGAAAATGTAAAAATATAAATAAATATAAAAGAAATTAGTAGAAGAGTATGATTTTTTATTTAAAAAAAGAAAAGCTCCAATTTAATATTCTGATGTATAACCTTTGACTTGTCATTCTACACTAAAAGATTAATTTATTAAAACTCCTTTTCATATATTTGATAAAATTAACAAATGTGTAATATGTCATGGGATACTATAATGTTTAGATGATTAAAAGTTCATTGAAATATTAGTAAATGAAATCAAGCAAAAACAATATACATTTGAAGCATTTAAATTTTAAGTTAAAACACCAATAGGTTGTTAGATCAGATAAATAATGATAGTAAATTAATGTATTTCAGAAATTGATTAGAATGATCCAATATATGAATATATAAGCAGTGCAAATTTTGCAACAGATATAAAAGTTTGTATAAAGTAGATAATGTGTTGTTTATTGAGTGAATCGCTAAAGGTACCTAGTGATTCAAGTGATGATAGATTTTAAATTTGTTTAAATTTTGAGAATTTAGGAGATGATGTGAAATAGTTTGAATAATTCAAATAAATTATTTAAGAAATTGATGATCAATTATGGGAAGAGAAAATAACAAAGAAAGTAAGATTATATAATAAAAAAGTTAAAAATGAATGATCCTTAATTAAAGGCAGAAATTCATGATAGATTATTAAAGAAGAAAAATCAATAATCTTAACCATTTCTACCAACATAAAATAATTTGGAGAAGATATAAAAATTAAACAAGGCTTAGATTTCATAATTTAAGATAGTGAATGTTAATTATGCAGTGAAATTAGAAGTGATAACTAATTATTAGAATATTTTTATAAAAGGAAATTACATAAAGTTAGGAAGATTTATAAGTTAGACTCCATGGATAATAAATGGAAATAGAATTTATGAAGAATCGATTGAAGATCTTGTGAGTAGTGAAGCATGTAAGATTTTTAAACCTTCAAGTATAAAGTTTCATTCTGGAGGGAGAGAAGATATTGATGTAAGAATGTTAGGAAATGGTAGACCATTTGCAATAGAATTAGTAGATCCTCATAAAGGACTTTAGAATTAGAGCTAAGAAATTCTAAACTAAATAGAATTTTAGATAAATTCACATAATATTGTTAAGGTGACTCCATTATCATTTACTGATGCAAGTATTTTTGAAGAGTTGAAGAATTCTGAAATAAACAAAGTTAAAGCTTATTGTTGTATTGTTGAATGTAAGAATGTTGTGAATGTAGAATTAATCTAATAAGCAAATTAAATCAAGGATTTAATTATTAAATAAAAAACACCTATAAGAGTACTTCATAGAAGAACTTAGATGATAAGGGATAAGATTATTCATTCATTATAGATCAAACAAATTAATGAAAAGTGGCTCTTAGTTTATATTTTAAGTAGTGCAGGTACATACATTAAAGAATTCATTCATTCTGATTTAGATAGAACAAATCCTAATCTATGTTCTTTATTGTAAAATGAATGTGACATTTATTAATTAGATGTAATCAAACTATATGAAAAGATTGATGAGAATGTTATTGTTAACTTTAAAAGTTTAGATACAGAATGTGGAAGTAAGATTTGAAACTTAATGTTATATATTATTTAGAATATGTGATTAATTAACTCAATAAGTGAGCCATTTTAATCACTAAGAAATCTATGTTTATTCATTAAAATTTTTATTATTTCAATTCAAATGCAACAACAAGAGCACAAAGACGATTTAAGACTTAAGATTCTTCTTTAATCATCTATTAAAGTTAAAACTGAAACATAATGCAAATATGTAGATAAAATAATTCCTTTGAATGAAAATCAAGCTTTTATTTATTATGATGGGGGCTCATATGAAGTATATGATATAGAATCACAATAAATTATTGGCAAAGGATAAATTGTTAATGATATCAAATATTTCATTCAAATATATCCAGAGTACAATTTAAAATAATAATTAGTACCTTGAGTTTTCTTGATCCTGAAGATATGAAAGTTAAATTACTTGATCTTAAAACTCACAGAGAAAATCCTTCATTTGTTTTTGCCTCAAGTAATGTTGTCAAACAAAATAGTGAAAAACAATAAAAAGAAACATTGGCAGATAGTAATAATCAATTTAATTTTAGAGTTTCGTATTATGATCTTAGATAAAGAATCAGAAAAGATTCGATACTTAGTTACTCAAGATTTAGAAAAATAATATTCTAACAATAATGCCTGTCACTTTGTTATTAGAATCCTACCATTAAAATATACACATGACACTGTATTCGATCTCAATCCTGTTATTGAATATAACTATCCAAATAAGACAGGATAAACAGAATTGTTGAATTGGCAAGTTGATGAAGAAACTTTTGTTGTTTTTGGATAAGATTTTGAAGTTGGACAAGCTGAAATGCTTTTAATCAAACCACATCTTCATGAAAAGGCATTTTATGTCATTCACATAAAAGATACCATTTCTTATACATTAATAAATGTTACAAATTGGATTCATCCTCATCTTATTGCTATTTGGTAAAACAATAATGATGGAAATGCTAAACCAACCATTTTTACGATTGATATAAGATCGTATTATGATGGCTAAAACTGGTTACCTGAACCAGATTATAATCCAACTAAAGTAAATTATTGATTTATCTTTAGGTTAGAGATGATTATGTTGGAGATGAACCAGTTACATTTATGGATATTTATCAATTTTAATTGAATTCAACATATGTCTTGTAATTTAGACTAGTCGGAGTAGAACCTAGATTATCTTTAATTAATTATGCCAATATTGATAAACCTGAACTAATTAATGAAGTAAAAATAGATGATTTCTTCCATGAACTTCCATCTAATAGATCTTATTTATTATAATATAATGAATTAGAGTATAATATATTTGATAAATTTAGAGTAAAGAATGGAGTTGTTGAATTTAGCATAGTATTCCCAGTTGATGCAAGACATTAATTATTGCAAATTATGGAAAAAGCAAAACTTATTGATAAATATGGTATCAATAATGTTGAAGAATTATTTGAATTTTATTAATGAAAATTCATATAGAAAGTTAAGATTATAAATTCTGTTTAAATTCTAATAAAATTTCTTTTATAAAAATTAAAAATTCATAAAAAATATTTTCTTTTTGCAACTGTTTGCTAAGTTTAAATTTATTTTATATTTGTTTTGTCATTACATTTTAATATATCCACATCAGAAGGTCTATTTGTACTTATTTTATTATGATCATTTATCATTTATCCTTAAGAGTTTTAAAATTTATCATTTTAGGATCGATTGCTTGATAATTTGAAATACTTTTCAATTTATTCAATAGATCCAGATAACTAAGAAATTACTACATCAACCTTAAAAGATGGTTTTTCATTTGAAATTTTTTATGTTAAATGAAATAACAATCTATCAAGCTTTTCATATAACTTATGCAATTCAACTAGTCTCTTTTCCTCCAAAACAATATTTGGTGATGTATTTTAAGATAATTCTAACTTTTCATTCATATCTTTTATTGTTCTAGATATATTATATAAATATTACTTTTCATAATATTCTATGTCTGCTTAGAATTTGATTTCCAAAGCATGATATTTACCACTTAATTCTTATCTTTCTTATAATAACAATGATAATTCATTGTTATCAAATTTTAATTGCTAAATAACTTTCTCTGATTCATATTTAACTGATTATAAAATATCCAACTCTTCAAGTATTTACTATCTTTCATTTTACAGTTCATTATTTGTTAATTTTAACTATTAAATTTCTTGTAAAAAGAATTCAATTTATTAAGAAGCCTCCTAAAACTCTTTATTTCTTTATTGATATTCTTTTTGTAGTAATTCATATTTTTATTAAAATTATTAATGTTTTTCATTCAATTATCCAAATTACTAATGTACCTATATCAATTAATTAAATTCTTTTGACATATCTTCATTTTATTTTAAGATATTTTCTAGTTCTTATTATTATTTTTTAATTAATTATTCTTTTTCATTCATCATTCTATCAGCTTCGCAAATTTATCTTCCTGTTTTTGTCATATTACTTTCAATTTCATAATTTAATTACTCTAAATTTTCTATTCTACTCTATTATTCTTCAGTTTATCTAAATTATTTTAATTTATACTTTTTAAGTTAAGACATTTAATAAACACTTTAATTAAATTATCTACTCAATTCTCTATTGGCTTATTCACATTCTAATAATTTATTATTGGTTTCAGTTAATTATAATTAGAAATTCATAATTTCTTTTTGTTTATCTGATATATTTTTTTATAGTAGCTAAAATTATAATTTATAATTTTACTTTTTTTGAATTCTCTGCTGAAACAACTTCATTCTTTTTTAATTAAAGCTCTTCTTCCAATTAACCAAGTTTTTCTTGAATTTGTATCATTTTTTTAATTTATTCATTTGATGTTTCAGATTATTTTTTTCTTTCTTAATTTTCAAATTTCAATCTTTCTACTTATTAATGTAATTATTCAATTTATTCCTTTTATTATTCTATGTGATCTATTAAAGCATCTTTCTCTTATTCTTATTATTGAATTGTCTAATTGGCATGAGTAATATTTTTCATAGTTTACTACATAGATTATGATAATTCTTCATTTTATTATTATAATTCATTTTCATGTTTTTTCATTAACTCATTTATTTAATTAGATTATTTAAGTTAATTTTCTAAATGTGAAATAATTAAGTCTCTTTATTTAAATTCATTTTAAATAGTTTACATTTACACTTTATTATGCTATAATTCTAAATAAATATCAATAGCATTCTCATTTTTTTTCTTATTTTTAGAATTAGTTATGAATACTCCTTGATTATACAATTTTTTTTCTAATTCCATTTTAATAATGTGATTATAAATTCTTAATTATTCAGAATTTAATCTTTCTTACATGAGTTATTATTCTAACTCAGGAACAGTAGTATTTTAAGATAATTATTAAGATTATTATTACTAGCGTTATTGTTACTATGAAAGTTAAGACAATTAAGATTATTGAGATTATTATACAAATTAAGGCAATTTAGATTCTTATACTGGTGTTTTAATAGGACTTGAAGGTTATTATGATAATTTCTTTGAACTATCTGGTCTAATAATCTAAATAACTTTTGGCATATTTTAATTACTAACTTACTATTTTGGTTGAAGTACTTAATTTTATTATTAATCTTGTTCATTATTAACTAATATTAATGGTCCTTTTTAGAAATTAGGAGAATTTACAGATTGAAAGATACGGTTTGTATCTTAAGATGCTAAATAAGATTTGAATTTATTTTTACATGCACTATAAACAAGAGATTCTTAAGTAAATCTTTGTTATTACTATTAGAGTTATTATTGATTAGGTTTAGTAGGTGTTGGTTGATCTTTCTCTGAATGTTCAGATGGTTAATATTCATAACCTTCATTCTCAAAATTGATTTATGACATTAAATTTATTTATTAATATTATTTAAGGTTTCCCTTAACGATCTTTTTATTTTTAAAAATATATAAATATATATATATTTAGATTCTCTCATTCATCATAAATAATATGTATCTCTCCTGAACCTCCACAATCTTATGATGCAACAACAAATACCATATTAGTCCAACAATCAATTTACAATTCTGCTTAAATAGGTTGATTATAAGCTTTATTTTTTACTAGTTAAATTAAACCAGTTGCAGGATTAACAGTTAGAGTTAATTAATCACCTCTGTTGAGAAAAGGGAATTTGGAAGCTAAAAATAATTTATGAGGTTTTTAAGGATCTAATTCAACAGATCCTGTTTCACAAACTCCTATTTAAAATGTTTGTAATATTTATTATTAGATACTAAAAGTTATTGATTTTGGTGGTTTAAGAGGTCCCTCTTATAAACGAGGTCCTATTAAAGCTAATCTTGTTTTATTTGTTTTATTCCCTTAATTTGGTGGTACAAGTAATCTTGTAGGACTTATTAATTTAAATTAAGAATGAACTTATTTAAATGTAAATGGATTGAGAAATGTTTTTGATAGTTAACTACTGAAAGTAGATAAAAATAATTATTTTTAACTTGGACTTATATTCATCGTTGGAGAAGCTAAAATTGATTAAGTACCCATAAAAGGTTCAGCATTTGATAATTTACGGGACATTGATATATTTTACATATTTTAATTGTATTCATCCATTTATTATTGTATTTAAGATATCATATCTTAAAGTGTTTCATCTAAAATTACAAGTCTCTTATCTAATTTTTAATTAAAGTTTTTGCGTTCTTTTTAATTACATGTTAATAGTAATTCATCATTTTACAATAATAAAAGTAGAGAAGATTTTAGGTTATCAGATAATTATGTTTATCTTTCCATTTAATTTACATCTTTTATTTTTGTATCAACCTTGGCATCTGTAGTAAGATGTCTTATTATTCTTTCAATTTCGTTTAACTTCTAATAATAATTCTTTTATAAATTCTATGTTTTTTATTCTCGTTCGTTTATTTGACTTTCCATTTATTATAACAGATTATTGAACATATCTGAAAATTATAGTAATTTATCTTTTATTGACTGTGTTTTTTATTAAGGTTATTTCCATTCAAACATTATAAAATTTGTCAATAAATCTGAAGCTCTCTTCATAGACATCATTTAAAGTTGACTATCCATCTCTATACATTATGTGCAAATGAATGAATCACGGAAATTACATTTCAATTTAATCATTTTTGCCTTCTCCAATGGATGGCGGTGGCATCGTTATTAATCAATAAATTATAATACATATTCATTCAACGATTCCATTTTATTTTTATTATTTTTATTTTTTGAGAAATATATTTTTTTATATATTCTTTATAATTATATTATTCGATAACTTATATATCAGAATTTTTTTTATTTCTTATGTAAGTTTATAATAAATTATCAATTTTATCTAACATATTTTCTACCTCTTTATTAAATTTAAAGTAGATAAAATTTTATTAATTGTATTTACAATTACTTTATTATATCTTTTAAAATTATAGTCAAACAAACATTAGAGATTTTATTACATATTGAAGAACAATCTTATAAATAGATAATTTCAGAATCATGAGTTTGATAACTTTTTTTATATTTATATTTTATATTGTTGACCTATTGAATAAAATAGAGTGACTCAACTATATAAAATAATAAATTACTATGGTAATAAATATGGATAATGAAGCCTAAGAAATTAATAAATTATAAAAAATATAAGTATACAATAATTAGCAAAATCAACTTCTACATTTCATTAAAAGAGATAATGTAAAACATTATGTATTATTATAGTTTTAGATAAATGTTTATTTAAAATGAGAAGAGATTATAACAATTAATATTTATCAATTATTATATTTTCAGTTTAATCTCTGTTTTAATTCTGATATCATTCTATCAATATAAGTAGCATCAGGATATCCGTATTTGCCTCCATTTAAACTAGTTTTATGATGTAAATCATTAAATTAGACTTGATATTTATGACCATCCTTCAATGATCTTGCGATAGTAAAAACTAAGCCTTTGTCAAATGCTTTTTTTAATAAATCAGCCAATTCTTGTCCTTCTTTAGTATTTGGTATATAACAAATTTATTTAGTACCTCGATAATGAATTCCATTTTACAATCCATTGGGTATGTCATAAACAATTTCTATTGTCTAAATCTTATCATACCCTTAACAAGATTAGTCTATTAGTTTTTAAATAAATGTGCCAGGTGGTTAGGCAGGATTTCCATAAGTTTTATCACAATCTTAGCATTTCAATTACTTGTTTTTAATCTTCTCAACTATACATTTAGGATGAAATATATGATTGCAAGGAGTAATGATTGATTTAGAATTAGTCTTTCCACAAATTGAACATTTAGATTTATCATTAATCTTCTATATCTTAAAGTATTTAGATAACACTATATCAGGTTTAGATTTTAGTTTATCTTCGAAATTCAGCATCCTTTATATCAATTATTCAAAAGATTGCCCATTTAAAAACATTTTATTTTTATTATAATTAATATTATTAATGTTAAAATTTTAAAGGATCTGTCTAAGATAGTTTAGTTAAAAAAAAATATTAACTGATGAATAAGTAAAAGAAGGTCTAAGACCAATTTTAATGAAAGAAGGATACTTTGAAGATGATAAATATTTATATTATATTGACAGAGATAGTAGAATCAGAAAAGTACCTAGAGAATACTAAAAGAGAGAGTAAATTGTATATTACTATATCTTTTTAGTAGAGTTTATAGAATTAAATTTCTTGAACCTATATATAGATGGTGGATACGTAGATCACCAGATACTTAATTTGCAATCATTCCTTATTTTTTATCTGCTATATTCTTCACTATTATTTATAATGGTGCAAATTTTATTATTGAAAGAGAAGATTAAATAGCAGAAAAGGCAAAAGTAGATCCAAAATTCAATAAAGAAAATCTTGAAAGATGGAAGATTGAAAAGCAAAAGTAATAATGAAATTAATAACCATTATTATTATTTATCAATATGGATAAGGATGTTTTTCATTAAATTTAACAACTCCTTCTATTTCTTTCATTACTCTAAGTACCATTTCTTCATGTTTAGGATATGAAATAATTTGAACATTAACTGGTAATCCCTAAGCATTTTACATATTTTGATTCATCATAATATACACTAAATCAATAGTTCTTTCTTTTCCTTCAATTTTTAAATCATCTCCATCTTATACTCTTGTAATTGGCATACTTCCAGCTGGAATATCAACAGTATTCCACATCCATGTATATAAACTATTAAAAATATATATATTAAATCATACGCTGCTAAAGGTAAGACTTTTGATGCGCCATGTTTAACTGCTGGACATCCAAATCCAGGTACAATTACAGCATCAATTTCATGTTATTTCAAATATTATAAAAATTAAAAATTCATCCTTTTTTATTTTCCTGAATTTACTAAAAATTAATAAACATCTAAACCATGAGTTTATTTACTCATTACATATAATGTTTTTTACCCAAATATTTTGAATAATGGTGCTAAGATATAATTTTAAATGAATAATGGAGTTTAAGTTCCTTTTTCCATTAATTCATATTCTTCAATAATTTTTTCACCTTATAAATTATCTTCAAATGATTTAAATCCTCCTTCTGCTGCTACTAATCTTGGAAATGCAACAGCTAATTCATGTTCTAGTTCTTAATCTAAGTTAATTTTAACAATTTCATGTCCTTTAGTACTTAAAGCTTAACAAGCTTCTAAAACAGCTCTTTTCATACAATTTGGAGGTAATAAATCATTAAATTATTCAATATAACCTATTTTTAATTTATGTTTTTTATCATTTTCAGTAAAATCAAGATCTTTCGGTTACCAATAAGGATCTTAAATTGAATATGGTAATTAGTAATAATTGTTAGAATTAAATAAAACTCTTAACATCACAATTAGATCATCTACACTTCTACCTAATGGACCTTTAGATGGTTTAATATTAACCATTCCACTAGCTGCTTTTTCTATAATTCCTTCACCTACTTCTGTTTATCTACCCATTCCTGGTTTAATACCATAAACTCCACAAAATGCAGCAGGTATTCTTATACTTCCACCAATATCAGATCCTATACCTATTACACTACATCTTGCAGCTTATAAAGCAGCTTCTCCTCCTGAAGATCCACCTACTGCTCTATCTTTATTCCAAGGATTTAAAGATCTTCCAAATATTCTATTTGTTGATTCAAAAGTCATTGCCAATTAAGGTAAATTACTTCTTACAAATATTATACCTCTTGCTTTCTTTATTAAAGCTACCTAAATCCCATCATATTCTGCTGGTTTAAATAATCTAGAAGCTAATCCATAAGTATTGTCAAATCCTTTATGAAGATAAGTGTCTTTAACTGAAACAGGTATTCCAAAAAGATCATATTTATAGATTATTTAAGGATCCTAAGAAATTTCTTAATCTTATTTCCTAACTAATTTACTCTAAAAACTTACTCTGCTTCTTACAATGCTTCAACAAAGTTTATATCTGTTATTAGATTCAAGTTTTCTGATGTACCTACAGATAATGTTCTATTTATAAATACTAATAACACTTGTTTCACTGTTACTCTTTTTTCAAACAAAACTTTCTTTATTTCACTTATTGTAAAATCTAATATTTATTTCTCAAACTCTCCACTTAAACCTGTTTATAAATTATTCGATTATCGAAATTCTTAAATTGAACATTTGAGTTCATTTCTTTTCTATTCACATAATTTATTGTATTTTCTCTAAATTCTATATCTACTAGAAAAGTTTGCCAAACCATATAGTGCAAATATCCCTAAGACACTTAAAAGATATTTTTATTCTTTGTTTGAAAACCAATTTTGTAATTTGAATTTCATTAATATATATTTTTTATTTTCATAAGATATACTATTACATGAAGATTCTTTTATAATAATTTGATGTTAGTATTTAGAACAAGCGATTTTATATAAATATTTAGAAATGAAACTTGTTTCAATCTCATTTCTTTGATATTTAAATCGATAAAATGAGATTGATATATTTAATAAATAAAATAATGGATTAGTTTGAATTTGTGAATCTTGAAAAGAAGCCATAAGGCAATAAAAATAATTAAAGAGGAAAATAAAATATTAGATAAAACAAAAATGATAGAAATAGAAATAGAAGAATCTAAAGGGATAATTAACCATTCAAAAAATAAAGAAAGTAATGGAGATTTAAAGATTAATAAAGATAAAATGTAGATAATTTATTATAACAATAATAGCGTCCATTTCAATCTGAGAATAGAATAGTGGCAACTGGTAAAAAGAGAAGACAATAATAATAATAATAAAGAAAATTTAATTAAAGACCTAAAGTCCCTAGAAATATCTAACCAAATGTCATCATATAAGGATTGGATCCAAAAATGACAGAAGCAGGTTTATAAGTATTATAATAAATTTACTAATTTAGGAAGCTTGTAAAGATTTTGGTCCAATGAATATGTGCAAATTAGATAGAGATAATTTTGGATAAGTGAAGGTAATATGAAATATTAACATTTGACCAGCCAGAAGGAATTGGTTTAGTTAGGTTTACAAGAGTAGAAGATGCTAAAGCATGTGTCGAAAAGCTAGATGGTGTTACTGTTTAAATTATTGGAGAAAATAACAATGTAATTTATATTTTATATTTTTTAGGAAAAAGTAATATCTGCAACCTTTGTTAGCGATACCTAACAAACTGAAAACAATAGAAATAGAGGTGTATTGAACATTACTAAGAGACCTATTAAAAAAAGGTATTGATTCAATAAAATTAAAATAGAAACTGGACAAGATGAATTTGAATAAACACAAATATGTTATTTTAAACAATTCAAAAAATCAATCATTTAGATTTATTAAAATAAATCATCCTATTTTGATATTAGATTATGGATAAATCCTGATAAAATGTATAAATTAGGAAATAAATATACTCCAATTATCAGGGAGTTAGACTTATTTCTATATATTTGATGGCCTATTCATAATCTACTCTCTTACATTGTCCTTGTTTCAAATACTTTTTCTTAATAGTCAATTATTAAATGCCATCATTGAATGAATATTAGATTTTTTCAAATATTTATTTCAATTCATTTTTAATCTTAAATATCTCTTCCTTCTTTTTAAATTTCCATCTTCCAATTATTATAAAACCATTTAGTTTTGTTATTATCATCTAAATATGTAACTTAATATCATAAATTATTCTTAAAGCAATATTCATTAAAGAGACTTTTTATCACTGAAACTTCTCTCTTAGAAGATATATTAATAATTTAATCTCAAGTGGGATCATCTTTTGATTAAATGTAAATAAAGAAGAAATAATAATTTTACTTTATGGATTAACAGAAAATAATTTATAATTTACGCAACATATATACTATAAATTAAACCAATAATTGAGTCCATAAAGAAAAAAAACTATTACAGATTAATCAATATAAGATGTAATTTTATATAATTATTTCTTTTTAATTTTTATCTTTATATTTATATTATCATTTGATTCAACCATATTAATCTATTATTAATCATTAAATATTTATAACAAAATTATTTAATAGCGTAATTTTATTAATATTCTTCCAATAATTCCTTCTACAAATATCATGAATGAACAAAAAATAAAACCAATTTAAATTCTCTCAAATAAATATAAATAATTCAAAATCTCTTTGTATTCTTTTAATTATTCATTATTTTCATTTAATTCCTATTATTTTCTTTTTCTATTAAATATTTTTATATTTAATTTCCTTTTTTAGTTTATATTATTTATTTTTAATGTAAATCTTTATATGAAGAATTTTCAAGCAAAATAATAATATTATTTATATTATTTTTCTATTTTCAGTACCTTTTGGAGTAGTTTTATCATTGATTTTATTATACTTTTAATAATAATGCTTCTTTCTAAAACTATTATTGAATTCATTATTTGACTAAAAATTTTTTGTCTAAAATGTACAATTTTAATACTTAATATTCTCCATATTTGATTTTTGATTTAAAACTTTTGTAAAAAAACCATTAAAATAATTTTTGTTGAATTTTCAATAATTTAATAGAATGATANTCTACTCTCTTACATTGTCCTTGTTTCAAATACTTTTTCTTAATAGTCAATTATTAAATGCCATCATTGAATGAATATTAGATTTTTTCAAATATTTATTTCAATTCATTTTTAATCTTAAATATCTCTTCCTTCTTTTTAAATTTCCATCTTCCAATTATTATAAAACCATTTAGTTTTGTTATTATCATCTAAATATGTAACTTAATATCATAAATTATTCTTAAAGCAATATTCATTAAAGAGACTTTTTATCACTGAAACTTCTCTCTTAGAAGATATATTAATAATTTAATCTCAAGTGGGATCATCTTTTGATTAAATGTAAATAAAGAAGAAATAATAATTTTACTTTATGGATTAACAGAAAATAATTTATAATTTACGCAACATATATACTATAAATTAAACCAATAATTGAGTCCATAAAGAAAAAAAACTATTACAGATTAATCAATATAAGATGTAATTTTATATAATTATTTCTTTTTAATTTTTATCTTTATATTTATATTATCATTTGATTCAACCATATTAATCTATTATTAATCATTAAATATTTATAACAAAATTATTTAATAGCGTAATTTTATTAATATTCTTCCAATAATTCCTTCTACAAATATCATGAATGAACAAAAAATAAAACCAATTTAAATTCTCTCAAATAAATATAAATAATTCAAAATCTCTTTGTATTCTTTTAATTATTCATTATTTTCATTTAATTCCTATTATTTTCTTTTTCTATTAAATATTTTTATATTTAATTTCCTTTTTTAGTTTATATTATTTATTTTTAATGTAAATCTTTATATGAAGAATTTTCAAGCAAAATAATAATATTATTTATATTATTTTTCTATTTTCAGTACCTTTTGGAGTAGTTTTATCATTGATTTTATTATACTTTTAATAATAATGCTTCTTTCTAAAACTATTATTGAATTCATTATTTGACTAAAAATTTTTTGTCTAAAATGTACAATTTTAATACTTAATATTCTCCATATTTGATTTTTGATTTAAAACTTTTGTAAAAAAACCATTAAAATAATTTTTGTTGAATTTTCAATAATTTAATAGAATGATACTGCTTCATTATTTAGGTTATTACATGCATGAAGTTATATTTAAAATTATAATTTAATTTTTTGAGTATTTCATAGTAAATACTATTATTTTCAGAAGTTTGGCTCTGTTAATTTAAGTTCGTTATTTTTCTTTAATAATTTTAGCTGATTAATTATACAATTGAAGATCACAGATTATAATAAAATTATATTTATTAATTAATTAAAAATAATTATTTTCAATTTAATAATGATTTCATAACTTTCTAGAAATCATAAACAAAATATTTAAGAAATAATTTTTGAATTAAATTCATATGATTAATAATGTTATAATAATTAATGTATTAAAGTTCCAAAGGAAATATATAATTTACTGATTCAGAAAGATTCAAACATTGGATAATTTTTTTCCAAAAATAAATTTTAAAAAATTAGACAAATAATTCCAGTAATGGAGAAAATAAAAAAATTTATTTGAGAGAATAAAATAAATATCACTTTATAAATTTATATAATTAATCATCTACATATTATATTTCGCCTTCAGAAGGAATATTAAATTCTTATTGAACAGTTGCATACTTGCTTTTAGAACTTTAAAAACTGATTGTTCTAGGCTTAAATTAAGGAGTTGTTAATAATTCATTACAACTCCAATCATATATATAATCTTCGAGTATGTTTTATTTCTATAAGACTTCTCTTAATTAATTAATTAATTTATTATGATCTGGTAAATCATTTTTCTGATTTTCTTCGACAAATTAAAAAATAGGATATATAGGTAGCTAATTTGTTGATTTAGCATCTAAAAATTCTTGTTTCATCTACATAATTCTTGATTCTCTACCATCTATATATTTTTACCATGGCAATGAACCTTATTTATACATTACAAATTTACCTTTAAACAATTCAACCAAGCAATAACCAGCCATTTCTATATCATCTATAAATCGATATTCTTAACGTCTATGCACAATTCTTGGATCATACAAAATAGTGCCATCAACATATTTATCAGGTAAAGGATCATTTTAAAGTAGGGAAATCCCAAAGTCAATTATAAATATAGTAGAATCTTAATCATACATTGTGAATACCAGAATATTTAGTCATCAAATTTTATGGTTTTATATCTCTATGTCGAATACCATTTTTATGGATTTCACTTAAAGCTTAAATTACTTTTATAGCAACCAACATGATTGTTTTTATTGAAAAACATTTTGATTTCGTAAAAATAGTTTACATATCTTCATTTAAATACTCCATTACGATATAGTAAGTATTGTTTAACTGGCCGAAATAATAAACTTAAGGAACCCCTTAGCAGTTCTGTAATTAAATTAATATTTTATATTCCTTTTCCATATTGTCTTTTGAGTATTTGATAGCAACAAGCCTATTTGTTTTCATTTCAATTGCTTTATAAACACACCCAAATCCTCCAATAGCCAATTCATTTAATAATTTAAACCCATCAACAGGGTATATTACAGGTTAATTTATGGCTTGGATTGTTTTTTTCTCTCTAGGTTTTAAAGCTGATGCTGATTATTATTTAATTAGTTTCATTTAAATTAAAAATATTTTAAAGCTTTAGCTAGAAAACTCTTTTATAAAGAATTACTTTAATTTTAAGTTCAGTTTAAGCCATCATTTTATTCTTATATAGTTGATATCTTTAATAGAAATATTATGGCTAATCTATCAAATTAATTACTAAATTAAGAAAATAAATGATTATTAACTCTTTAGATAAATACTATAAAAAAATTCATACGCAAATGGTTTTTTTCATATCATTAAGATAAGGAGAATAACTTAAAATGTATTATATCTGTTGCAAAGATAAATGTTATTTGATTAATTTATCTTACATAATAGACTTCAATTCATATAATTTTTAGAAGAAAAATATAAAAATATTAATTATTTTGTTTAGAAAAATTGAATATTAATTCATAAATTAAATAATAATGCATGAACTTCTCTAGAATGTGGATAACTATATTTAACTAGGTTTTGCTAGTCTTTCAATCTTATTCTTTTACATTGTTTATTAGACAGATGTAATTTGGAATAATAATAGTTAGACATTTATGATATAAAATGAGGAGAATTGGGATTACCTACGATAACAATATGCACAATTATATGAACCTTAGGAATTAGATAAATTTCATTTCCCAAATGAGATGGCTAGTTTTTGTTATAAAATTTAAGAAAAAATAACCTCAATCTAATGGGAATACATATATTTTATTTGTTTATCAGCATTAGTTTTGACTCTATATTCAGTATAGATTATATACTTATACTAGTTTTTTTTTCTAGAAAGCGGATTTTTATATTTTGGAATGAACATCGTTTTCGGAGGTCTTACAATGTTTTACCTTTGTTATTTTATAAATAACGTATATTTGGGAACTGTTGTAAAAGTTCCATTACGAGTAATTTGTATATCAATCAGACTGATCCTCTGCGTTGGGCCTATGGTAATGGATTCTTCTTGAGTTTATTTTGTCTGGGAATGCTAATAATTTCAACCCATTTAGTGAATCAAATAAATAAGTTCGTTTTCAATAAACCAATTGGAATGGCTTTTGTATTGGGAGGTATAATTTATATAATAAAAATAAGGTTCTTTATCCTTATATTTTAGAAGAGAATAGTAATCAATTCTAGGTAGAAGTATATCAATAGGAACAGATCTACATGTAAAAGATAATTTAGGTTCTGAAGGTGTAATGGATGTCATTGGATACTCAGAGAAATTAGCATCTATTATGGGTCATATTTTAAGTGATAACCATTTATTAGATTTGATAGTTGTTTTGCTATTATATTTCACATTGCCTAGAGTATATATTAATTATTAATAGATTTTTTAAATTGGAGCTATGAACACAAATGTTTACTCAATTGTAATGCTAATTAATTACTTTGCTTAATTCATAATATCTTTTTTTATTTCCTCTTTTTAATCAGAAGATATAGCCAAAAATGTATTATAAAATATTAGAACTTAAATTATTGCAGCTAGTCTCTTTAGCATTATATCATTGGTTTTATTATACATCTATAATTCTACTTATATGAGTATTGCTAGTTTTGGACTTATAACAAGTATGTTGCTTATTATCTATTTGGAATATGTGACTAATCATTCATTTCCATAAGTTAGAAATATTGCATCTGCAGCTCTTAATGCTCCTATGTTAAATGTTATGAATGGTAATTTCTTAGGAGATATGGGTTAATTATTCTTTGTTGGTCTTATTGGATTATTTATTTTTATATCTAAAGAAATTGGAGGAAATGAAGGACTCTATGCTTTTCTTACTGGATTAATTATGAATGCTATAGTTATGACTTCCATTTAATTTAGTGGAAATTCAATAAATATTGGTTTACGATTTGCTTAAATTGCACAAGTAGATTCATTACCTTTAGAAAAAGTATTATCATTTTAATTATAATTAGATTAACTTAGCAGCATGTAATTATGCTTTATATCTAAAAACAATTACTATTATTTGTTTATTTTTGATTACTATAATATTTTTTCCTATACAAGAAATTCAATATTTTGGTGTGTTTTTAGGAATCATTCTCGCATATTTTTTTAAAGGGATATTTCTAAAGTTTTTAGAAACTTAGATTATTAGATAACTTAGAGGATTTTATGAGGGTACTTTTCTAGAAAACCAAGTTTATAATTTATGGGAATTAACTGGTTTAATTGGGCTAGTAATTTAAATAAATATTATATTAGTAATTTATTATTTTGAATTTTTTTAAATACTTTGCTACAAAGTTTGGAATGTATTCATATGTTTACAGTTACACATAAATTGTTTTGATTTTAAGTGCTAGAGCTATTATTACTGGAAGTAGTTTAAAGAATGTTAGAGTTCTTGAAGGAACTTTAAAAGAAAATAAGATAATATATTTATCGCATATGTATGCAGATATTCAAGGTATTTCCATGGAAGAATCACCTGCTTTACCATAAATAGGATTTTTAGGGATTTCTATAGTATTAGGTTTAACAATTTGAATAATTCCAGTTTAAAATTTAATCGAACTTTTATTAAATGGATATTTAATATTTATTATATTAATTCTTCTTTCTCTTCAGTTTTCATTTACATCATCAAACAACGAATGTCATCTCAAATTACAAAAAAGCCATCTTTAAAACTCTAATTAAACAAAAAGACATTAGAAACTTTATCAATCGAGAAAACAATAATGCCTCCTAGTTCCAAGTGCTCATAAAAGACAACCTCTTCAATTAATGTAAACTAAACCTCTATTATACAAATAGACTACCAGTTGTACATCCTCATCATCCAAATAAAACTATCCATTAAAATAATCAAATCCAAATCCCTCCAATAAATCAGACGAACATAAATAAATAATTCAATAATTGCTATAAGAAAACATAGAATTACAAAAATAGAATAAAGACAAAGATTAATTGATCACCTATTTAAGTAAAAAGCACTCCCCAAAAAGAAGATCAATATTAAATACAGAAAGAGCCACTGAAATCAAATCTTAAAGACTTCCTTAAATTTCCTAGTCAAAAAACTCACTTGATATTAATAAGTTATTATGTATCTAATTTATTTTAGTTTAAATGATGGAATCTGTACACCATTTTGTTTTACTTTTTGCTAATAAGATACTCAAAGTTAATAAAGTGTAAGAAATAAAAAATTACCCAAAGAATTTTAAATTGTACCAAACAAAAATAAATATTTTGTATGATTATAGAAAGTTTATTAATGATGATATTATATTTCAATATTTTTGTGTATATTAAATAATTGATAAAATAATATCCACTACCTTTTTAGTTATCAAGATTAACACTGAAAATCAAACTTGCTTTTTATCTTCTATTTTATTCATTTTCTTGTCTATAGATAATTTATATTTTTTTGAGTGAGAGAAGGATTAACTAAATTATCATTATAATTATTTAAAAACAAATCCTAAATAGCAACATGCTTAGACCGTTTATTAAGAGACTCAGATTGATTAATTTTTGAAACTCTAATTATTACTTAAATTTATGGACCATTAAAAATGTTTAAACTTTTCTTATTAATAAATACTAAAAAATAGTTTATTATTTATTTTATTTATTAATGATGAAAAGAGTCATTAGTTTACAATAGAATTCTTACTTAAAAATTTAAACAATAGGATGTATCTAAATATAGAATAGTTTTATAAATACCTAAAATATTGAGTTCTTTATTCTATTAAAATATAATCGATTATTTAAAATCAATAATTATGAAACGACAATATCTAATAAATTATTCTGAAAGGATTAAATAAGAATAATAACACCTAAAAATTTAAATAAGTTCCTAGCCAAATAAAATGGATAAAAATTTTTTTGATTGAGAACCTATCCAACATAATAAATAATAACATATTTCCTTATTCATGGGATACAGAATTTTATATTTGAATAATTGAAATTGAATTTTAAGTGAAAAAAATAAGGATAATTAATATTGATTTATTTTAATCGACAAAAATTTCAACTTTAAGTTAAATTTTTTGGGGTTATTCCAAAAATCAATAAGGATTTCTTTATGGGTTTCTCCAATTTTAGATGATGAATTCAAGATTGCTTATTCCAGTACCTGTAGAGGATACAAAACATTGATTTTAAGATGCTCCAGTGGTTCTAGCTTAGATGATTATATAGATAATTCTATTTTTTATATTGGCTAATGTGTTTTAAACAAATCTTATATCATTTGAAACTAAATTATTGGGAATTATTTCTAGTATTTATCTGATCTTAATTTTTATATTCTGTAATAACCAAAAAGGGTTTTTAATACTTCTTTTCCAACTAGAGATTTCATTAAATCTTTAACGATAACTTAAAATTCTCTTTAATTAATAATATATTGAAAATTTTTTAAAATAATAATATTTGATAAGATGGTGTTGGTAATATTAAGATTTCTAAAAAGATAATTGAATTAGATTTATTGGAATAAAGGCAAGCAGGAAGCTTATTACTCTAATATTTTTTATTATTTTTGAATAGGCTCTCACAAATAAGATTTTAGCACTTTATCAATAATTTATCAAGATGACTTAGATTCTTGAATAATTTCATCTATGAACAAGATAAACAATAAAATCTTTAAGATTTCTCTTTTATGCTCATAGTTTAATTTAATCAAATATCCTAGCCTAAACACTAAGATTTTAACTAATTGATATCAATTTTTATGTTAAAATAAAATTGATTGAGCCCTAAATTTTTGGCAGCTAAATTTCAATCTAATGTAACATAATCAATTTTATTATTTTTCCCTTCTTATGACATAGAACAATCATTAAGCCATTCCAAATGATTCTGTGAAATATATTAATCTGAAATTAGATGTTTTCAAAAATGATTCCATCTAAAGAACATCAAAATAAATAAAATCACAATTTGTAGTGGTAAACATAAACCAGAAAAATGAAGTAATCTAAGGAACATTGTCAAAGCAACTGAAACACATTGATCTCTTTTGATAATAAATCTATTCTAGAAAAGAACATCCAGATTATTTAAAAAGAGGAAAATTAATTATAAGGGCGTTATCGAAAATTCCTAGACATCTCTGATTTCTCCTCTGGCTTAGAATTCAATTATAGGAATAACTAGATTTTTAAGAAAAATAAAATAATTTTCATTTTTAAGGTAATCTTTAAAGAAAAGAAGTTCTATGTAATATTTTCAGTTTTTTAATAGGATTGAGAAGACCAGATTTAGAATCTTACTTGACTGCATCTATATATTGATTAATTTAATCTTTATTCTTGGATATAAAATAATGATATTCAATACAAAGATGAATCTATCACCATTAAGGAGATTCAAAATTCCTAGATAATAAAAGGCATATTATCAAATTTGATTAACTAAAAACTTTTTTTTTGATTTTAATATTAATTAATAAAATGAATTAAGAAATTCAATAATTTAGAGCAACTTTACCAATAAATGAATTCAAATAAGAAATTCTGAAATAAACATTAGAAAATACTTTTATAATAATAACAGGTGACACAGGTTCTGGTAAATCGACGTAATTACCATAATATTTGTTGGATGATGAAGAATTTCGATTGAACATATGTGAAAGAAGAAAAATGTTTTTAGAAGAATATGTAGAAGAGAAAGAACAACAAAAAGTTTAAGGATACTTATCAAAGAAGTAGAAACCTTTTGTTGCAGAAGATAGAAGAAATTCAAGTGATTTAAAGATAGTAGTAACATAACCAAGAAGAATGGCAGCAATATCAATGGCTAAAAGAGTTGCATTTGAAAGAAATGTATAAATTTATTAATAATAAATAAATAGCAAAACTTAGGTATAGAAGTAGGATATTCAATAAGATTTGATAATTCCACTACAAATACTACTTAATTAAGATATGTGACTGATGGTATATTAGTGAGAGAATGTTTATAAGATAAAGATTTGACAGGTTATGATATAGTAATTTTGGATGAAGCTCATGAAAGATCTTTATATACAGATGTGTTATTTGCATTAGTAAAGACAGCAGCTATAAGAAGAAAAGGAAGTTTAAAAGTAATCATAACATCTGCAACTTTAAATATAAATATATTTAAAAATTATTTTGAAGGATGTCCTTATGTAAAAGTTCATGGTAAATCATTTCCTGTTGAAGTAAAATATTCAGAACATAATATAAATTAATAAAAAAGAAATCATGATGCTGTAAATGCAGCAATAAGAATGCATTTACATGAAGGTCCTGGAGATATATTAGTATTTTTACCTGGAAGTGAAGACTGCGAAGTTTGCAGAAAGTTTTGTTATGAAAGATTGGCAGAAGTTTTAAATTCAGGAGTTGAAGTTCCTAGTGTTTTATTATATACTTTGTATGGTAGTTAAACTTCAGAAGATTAGAGTTAAGTGTTTTAAAGAGCTGATGAGCATACAAGAAAAATAATATTTTGTACAAACATTGCTGAAACCTCTTTGACTATTGATAATATTGGATTTGTGGTAGATACAGGTTATGTTAAATAAAAAGTTTATAATCCTAGAACTGGTATGGATTCTCTTATCATTTAACCAATCTCTAAAACTTAAGCTATTTAAAGAACAGGTAGAGCAGGTAGAACTTAACCTGGAAAATGTTATAGATTATTTTCTAAATAATTTTATGAATCACTTTCTGAACATACAACTGCTGAAATTATGAGAGTTAATTTAGCATCTGTTATGTTATTATTAAAATCTATGGGAATTGATGATGTAGTTAGATTTGAATTCATGGAATAGCCTACTTAAGAAGCTATTCTATAATCACTCAGATAATTATATTTAATATAGGCAATTGATGAGGATGGATATATTACTCCTATGGGTTATGAAATGTCTAGATATCCTTTAGAACCAAGTTATGCTAAGGCATTGATTACTGCTAAAATGATGGAATGTTCAAATGAAATGAGTGCCATTGTTGCTATTTTATCTACTGAAAGTATCTGGCAAAGAATCACTAGAGTTGATGTAGATGGATATTAAAAACTATAAGAAATTTAATCACAACATGCTGATCCAGCAGGAGATCATCTAAGCTTACTTAAGATATTCTCTGAATGGAAATAAGCAACATTCAATGAGCAATTTGCAAAGGATACTCTATTGAATTTGAGATCTCTTAGACAAGCAGACAATATTCGTTAATAATTGCAACAATTAGTAGAAAGTACAAGTAAAAAGAAATGTCTACAATTTTATGAATAAGATTCACTCTACAGATTATTTAGAAAATAAAAGGATTCTAAGAAGTGGAATATAAATGAGAGTATAAAATTAGCATTGTGTTCTGGATTTTATTTTAATACTGCTCGTAAGATGCACAATGGAGAAGACACATATCTAATGGTATATCCAGAAGGAACAGTTGTTGATACAGACCCTTAGAGTGTGTATTCAGTAATTTAGCAATATCCTGAAACAGTTATATTTACTGAATTGGGAGGTACATCCTAAGTCAGAGGAGTGATGAAATTGATTAGTGAAATCAATATTGATTGGGTTAAACCTTATTTCTCAAATATGGTGAAGGTATAAAATTCATTTTGACCTTAGGTTGATTTATTTAAACTTGCAAGGATAGAATTCCAACAAAGAGGAAGGGATGCTGTACATGAAAGAAGATAAAAGAAAATCCAAGAATAAGAAAAGTAGAAAGAGTAAGAATAGAAAGAAAAGCTCGAAAAACATTAATAGTACAAAGCCAGATTTGAACAAAGAAAAAAAGTTAAAATGTGAATAGAATAATGTATATTTGATAATGAATGATTCTTTATAGACTGATAGTGGATTAAATTCTTATTCTTGTAATCCTCATTTAAAACTAATCCAAATCTAAAACTACTATTCTGACTCAATTTACTTGCCAATATTTCATGTTATCTTCTTAAAGCAGATTTCTCAAAAACACTGTCATTTTAATACCATCGAAAAAATATAATTTCATTTATTCAATTCTCAAAACACTAAACATTTAAATTCTGTTTTGCTTTCACAAAATAATAAATACTCAATTTCAATAATTTAAATTATAGATGAAAATGATGTATTAAACATCTAAAAGTTTAAACTTATATTTATCTATGAGAATATTTAGATTAATTAAATTTATAACTAAGTAATCCAAATTTGAAAGAGGTCAGTTAAACTTTTGCAAAAATGATAAAACTAATAATAATATATAAATTATCTTTCATTTTGAAAATCTTGAAATAAGGTATTTTATATAAATCTAAGTATACTATATTCATNCTACAGATTATTTAGAAAATAAAAGGATTCTAAGAAGTGGAATATAAATGAGAGTATAAAATTAGCATTGTGTTCTGGATTTTATTTTAATACTGCTCGTAAGATGCACAATGGAGAAGACACATATCTAATGGTATATCCAGAAGGAACAGTTGTTGATACAGACCCTTAGAGTGTGTATTCAGTAATTTAGCAATATCCTGAAACAGTTATATTTACTGAATTGGGAGGTACATCCTAAGTCAGAGGAGTGATGAAATTGATTAGTGAAATCAATATTGATTGGGTTAAACCTTATTTCTCAAATATGGTGAAGGTATAAAATTCATTTTGACCTTAGGTTGATTTATTTAAACTTGCAAGGATAGAATTCCAACAAAGAGGAAGGGATGCTGTACATGAAAGAAGATAAAAGAAAATCCAAGAATAAGAAAAGTAGAAAGAGTAAGAATAGAAAGAAAAGCTCGAAAAACATTAATAGTACAAAGCCAGATTTGAACAAAGAAAAAAAGTTAAAATGTGAATAGAATAATGTATATTTGATAATGAATGATTCTTTATAGACTGATAGTGGATTAAATTCTTATTCTTGTAATCCTCATTTAAAACTAATCCAAATCTAAAACTACTATTCTGACTCAATTTACTTGCCAATATTTCATGTTATCTTCTTAAAGCAGATTTCTCAAAAACACTGTCATTTTAATACCATCGAAAAAATATAATTTCATTTATTCAATTCTCAAAACACTAAACATTTAAATTCTGTTTTGCTTTCACAAAATAATAAATACTCAATTTCAATAATTTAAATTATAGATGAAAATGATGTATTAAACATCTAAAAGTTTAAACTTATATTTATCTATGAGAATATTTAGATTAATTAAATTTATAACTAAGTAATCCAAATTTGAAAGAGGTCAGTTAAACTTTTGCAAAAATGATAAAACTAATAATAATATATAAATTATCTTTCATTTTGAAAATCTTGAAATAAGGTATTTTATATAAATCTAAGTATACTATATTCATATTATTATATAAAAAAAACAAAGTTTTTATATTTAAATTAATTTTTTATAATTATAATTGAAAATTAAATGAGGGGAAATTAAAATTTTAACCAACGATGCCAAATTAAATACAATGCCATTACCAAAAAAATTCAAAAAAAATATATATCAAATGAGGTTTCTTAAATGGTAAGTTTAATATGATATTTTATGAGATTTTAATTAAGTATTATTTTTCTCAATTTAAACTATTTCTAAAATAAAATTTTGAAAACACTCACAAAAAGTTTTAGAAAATGATGCTCATAATATGAATCAGAAATTTCCCTTAATAGTTATTTTTATTGTAATAAATTATGTAAATTATTAACTCTACAGATTAAGCTTACTCAAAATTATATGTAAGCATAATTGCTCCCTCTAATTTATAAAGAACCGGTTTTTTTGAAATAAACAAATCCCTAACTTTTATCTTAAATGAATTGGTAATTTTTTTGAATTTCTATATAAATTCAATTATTAATAAATCTTTGTTTCATCTTAATCTATTTATATTTCTAATATTTTACTCAAAAAGTAAAATCTTAAAAAATTTTTTTTTCTCTATGTGATTAAATATAACGAGCTATTTAATATTAATTTAATAAATTAATGAACAGATAAAGTAATATAAAATCAGAATATGACCAACTGACAAAACATGTAATTATTTAAACCAAAATTTAATAGCCAACATCTCTTGATAAATCAAAAGAAAGAAATCATACTCCGAAAGTTAAATGTTGTTCGAACAAATATTTATTGAATTCCTCGACAAAATAAAACCTCAATAGATCATACAATAGCAGTTAAAAAGTCCAATCTAAACTCTAGTCTAAGGCAACCTCTGATATCAAATAGAAATTATTAGATGAAAGTATATTCTATTATCATCTCTTAATAATAGTTCTTAGAGGATCTCATTCATAATTCTCGTAAAGTTACCTAACCAGTATTATTTAAGACAAAGTTGTTAATAAGCCCTAAAAATATTATACAAATGATGATACATCAAGTTTTACATTACCGGAAAAAGAATTTAATATTAAAGCACCTTTTCTCTAAATAGACATCTTTACTGCTGAAGAGTGTAAAAAATAATAAGACTCAATCACAATCACTAAATTTTAGGAACTATTAGAAAAACTTGAAATAAAGGAAGCAGATTTAAAAGTCAATGTTTTTTCCAATCTCAAAACTTTATTCTTAATATTGGCAAAGTAGATTTAATAGAAACTAGCCTTCTAAAAGAATGAAATTACTAAATTGTAAAATTTTAACACTTAATTACAATAATAACAAAAAATCCTATAAGATAGTATTTAAGAATAAAAATAAATTACAATTAAGACTGAAGAAACACTTAATTCTCTGCTTTTTACACTTCGATATACAAATTTAAATAATCATTAAATTTTTGAATAACATAATGACTAAGTTGAAACTTAAAAACATTAATCAGAAAACAAGAACTTTTAAGAAAACATTTCAATAATGTCTGAAGATTCAGCTCCATTTGGAAAGTTTTATAATTACTATATTAAAAAAGAGCCAGATCTTTAAAATAAAAGGGCATTAGGTTTGACATTAAATTTAAATTCCCTAAAAAATCCACTAACTGCTCCTATAGGATATTAAGAAGAATTTATGGCTAATTTAAATGAATTTAGTGAAAGTTGGAGATAATAGGCTATTAAAGAATAGAGATTTTGAATTCTTCAATTATTTTTGTCTAATAAATTTTGCATAAATTTATTAATAAATTATTTCATGCTAAGACTTAATTATTTTATACAATTTCTGTTTAATTATTTTATTTTTCTTTAGATACTTATGCAATTTACTATTCGCTACTGTTTAACTCGTTTCTAAAATTTAACCCTTTAACTAGTACATTGTATTCTTATTATCAATTGGAAAAATTATATTTGCTTAACAAACTTCATTTGGTATTCCTTCAACAATATTTTATGGATTTATCTTTTTCATATCTGATTTCACAATAAATTCATAAGTGGTTATGCCTTTGATTCTAAGATAAATATGGAAAATGAATAATTATAAAAGTAATATAGAAAATATAAAGGAATCTATTAGCATAACTATTGAGAGGGTATATTTAATATCTAGATCATTTTCATCATAAAAATGCTTAAACTAAAATGTTATTTGTTACAAACTTTTGTATTTCATTGTCAATTAGCAATTTTTATTGCTCTGTATTATACAACACTATAATTCTTATATAAATAATTAATGTGTAAAAGAATTGTAACATTGTGGATGTTACCATCACCATAAAAATTTTATAATTAACCTTTCCTATGCAATTATTAACCCATTTACAATGATGATCGAAATCTTTGCAACATCTAAAATAATAAACTTTAGCAACCTATTGCAATGTTTACAATGCTTTGTATTTTCGTTAACATAAGCTTCACAAATATCACAGTATGAATCCAATTTGTAATTTTCATAGTTGAAATTTTTTCTTTAAATTAAATTTTAGTTACCCATCACGACGAAATTGTATTTACAAGAACAGAAGCTCATCAATAGGACAGCTTAAAGTAGTTTTAATACTAGAAAATAATGAAAGTACAGTTAAAAGCCCTAGTATTATAAAATGTAAAGCCTAAATGAAAATCATACTTTTACTGATTCATCAAGTAAAGATATTTAAAGAAAGCAGTTTAAAATATTTGGAAAGTAAAGCAAGTAAGTTAGTGATTGATAGAGTGTTGGAAGTTAAGAACAACCATGTCGAATAATATTATTTTATTTCATTATAAAATAAATATAATTATTCAAGATAAACAAAATATATCACAATCAATTATTCAATTTTTAATAATAATACTAAATAAGAGTCACTAAAAAGGATAAATTGATTAGAATAATTGAGTTTGAAATGGTTTTTAGACCCATTGAACGTAATGACATATATAGTTTTGAAGTTTACTATTTATAATTTAATAAAATTGATAATTTCTAGAATATATTTACTTGAATTATCAATTTACAATACTTTAATATTTTTCAAGAATAAATGTTAATCAAAATTGATGAATTAATGTAGGAAAATTAATAAAATTTACTTTAAAAAGAGATAAAAATAATAATAGTTTAGTATTTAAACAAGCATCCCTTTTTGAAGAATTATATGATTTTTATTTAAATGATCAAGAACGATAAAATTCAATATATTAGTATTATTTAATAATCAATGAATTTATTCTCTTAGTTAAAATTATTTTGCTCTATGTCTAAAAACAAAGCTAAACTTAATTAAATTTAAGCCTGTTGAATGCAAATTATAAAAAATGGTATCCTTTCAATTTTTATGATTTAAACTATTTAATCTTTCTGGAGTAGAATATATATTAAAAATTTAGACAATAATTTAATTTAAATGATCTAAGCGGGGGACTTAAATAATTTTTAGCAGAATATTCTAAAAATTAATTTTTGCTTTTTAGTTTTTAAAAGAAAAAAATCAAAATGATTTAGATATATTTCAATATAATACGTAATTAATTAATAATTTTTATACTTAATATAACAATATATAGAAATTAAAGTAATAATTATAAATAATACGATGAAAAATGATGATAGTTCATTCTATAGTGTTGTCTATCAAGATATCTATGATCCATATCCTTTATCAACAGAATTGCCATCATCTGAAAATGAAGTCCCCTTTAAACAATTAAGGTTATGAAAGTAAAAAATAATTAGTGGTGATGAAGCAATAGAGAAAAGTTACATGGAATCAAATTGTTAATCATCTGTCTGGGCAAAAAGAGGAACCAAAGCATCATTTTTATTGACAAGTATAACAATAATGAAAAGCATGGTTGGTGTTGGAATTTTAGGAATTGTAATTTAAATAAATATTTATAGCCAAACGTGATGAAAAATTTTGGAGTAATATTAACAATAGTTATCATGGGTATTGTTTACTTTTTAGGAATGACATCATCTAGAGTATTGCTTAAATGTAAAAATCTAAGCAAAAAAAGTAATTATTCCACTATTGGATATTTTATTTTTCGTCATAGTTGGATAATTTACACAGTTAATTTAATTATTACTCTCTCTAATATAACTACATGTTTAAGTGAATTGATGTAATCAAATATAATAATATTATACTAGTATTTTTGGAGATGCATCATAGTTATTAATTAAATTTTATAAAGGTTAAGATTATGAAGTTCCATTTTATTTATCTAGAACTTTCTTACTTTGTATACTAGGACTACTTCTTACACCTTTACTCATTGTAAAATCAATAGAAAAGTTAAGATTTGTTAGTTTAACTGCAATTCTATCGATTAGCACTTTTACGGCTTTAGCATTTTACAATTTCTTTACCAAAGATAAAATACCAGATGGTATCACTATAATCTATTGTATATATAGGATTTTCATTTTTGATACCAGAAACATTTGATTTCAAAAATGCAATGTCTGCTCTTCCAACTTTGCTTTTAGCTTACAATTGGCAATTTAATTTATTTCCTATTTTTAAAGGAATGGAAGGTCCAACTGATTAAAAAATGAAATATGCAATGTTTACTGGATATTCTATGGCTTCCTTTTTATATTTATGCGTTGGAATATTAGGTTATGCAACTTATGGAAATGAAGTATACATATATATCAATAATGTATTAGATTTAAACAAACTATTTAAAGAGTATTAAATCTGATGAGGTTGGGGCTGTATTATATGTAATTTTAAATATAACTTTTGTTATATCTACTACATTAACCTTACCTGTATTATTTTTTGGAGGAAGAAATAATTTTATATAAATTGTTAAATAGTTGACCTCAGAAAAAAAAACAGTTTAAGAAGTTAAGGGTTATAAAGAATTTTTAGATGAAACAAATGCCAAGAGGCAAGAAAAACTTATAGAAATTAAATTAAAAAAAAAATCATAAAAAATTCGATTTTATTTGTTAACATTTGTCCTTTTCTTAATACTAATGTGTGGAGCTATATTTTTAGATAATCTTGCTTTAGTTTTTAATATAAAAGGAGCTGTTTTTTGTAATTCAATATAATTTGTATTGCCAACAATATTTTATATTAAATTGGTGGAAAAGGTTAAAAGATATCGATTTAAAAATAAATAGAAATAATATTTTTATTATGGCATAAAAATATTATTCTGTTTGAGTTGGATATTTTTGGTTACTTGTGTTGTTTGTGGCACAATGGCAGCAGGTCATTGATTTATTTAATTGTAATTATTTAGATTTAAAATTATTAAAAATTACTAAGTAATGTATTTATAGTATCCATAATGATGTGATAAGTATTCTAATCAAAAATAATAGTTTTTTATATTATTATATAGAATTGAAATATTTTAGATTAATAATTAAAAAAAACATTACGGTTATTGATGAGTGATCATTCTTAGTTGTTTTATAATAAAGATGACAATACAGATGATTTATTGTTATCATAATTTTCTTATGAATCATAATTCAAAAGCTAAGAATCATTACCTTAAAGAAAAAAAAGATAGGGTTAATAAGCAAAATAAAATTAAGTGATTCAAGAGGAAAATTCAAATTCATATATCATTGAGGATCAATAAACCTCTTATATAAAAAATTAACAAGAATCTAAAGAGGTTCAGCTTTTGAAATTGGCTTCTCATTTAAGATAACTTTTATAAAAATAACAATAAGAATTTTATGAAAAAGAACTTGGGTTTCAATAAAAACTATTAACTGTTTAATAATAACATGACAGCATGATTTCATTAATGAAAACTAAATATCAAATTATTATAGAAGAACTCTAATAAAAAATATCTATGTAACAAACAGAAAATACAAATTTGAAATAACAAATATTTTAATTATAAGAGTAATAACAAAACTAATTAACTTAAAGAATGAATAAATAAAGTGCAGTTGAATCAAATAAGGATACAAATTGTTTTTTTACTCAAAGATAAACTCATTAAAATTCCAAATTAAATGATTTCTATAAATAAGATCATGATGAAGATAAATTACTTTCATTATACAAATAAGAGATAGATAAAGTAAAATAATAGACAGCAGAATTTGAAAGAAAGTTTTAAAATGAAAAATAATCTATCAAGCAAGAAATTAGTGTCTTAAAAAATTAAAAATTAATGCTTTAGACATTAATTACAAATAAATAAGTAACAAATATAAGTACAGATAAACCTTACTCTTAAGGAATGAATTCTGAACACAAAACTAATAAATCAAAAAGAGATAGTTAATCTAGAGCTTATAGTCATGTTTCTAAAAAGTCATTTGATTTTTGATTACTTACTATGTATATTTTAATTATATAAAGTAAAAATTTTTTGTTTTAATAATAATGGATTAAGGGATTAGTAATGGATTTTCTTTGAGAAAGATTTGCAAATAACGACTCAAGGGTGTATTTGTATCCCTGATTTAAACAAACCCAAATGTCTCGAATTATTTTTTAATTGTTGATTAGAAAACAGTGAAAGTTGTTTCTGCATATATGAAAATGGCTGAGTAATTTATAATTTGAAAATTTAGATTGATGGAATTAGGAGTAAGTGCAGTTGAAAAATTGGAATTAGGTAGAAAGCCTTTTCCAAAATTACATGCTATTTATTTTATTTCGCCCACTTAGGAATCAATCTAAAGAGTGTTGGATGATTTCAAAGATAAAAAAAATCCACAATATGGTGTTGTTCATTTATTTTTATCAAATGAAATAGAATAAGGATTGATGTAAAAAATTGCTTAATGTATAGAATGCATATATAATTATAGGTAATTCATTAATAACAAAAATTGCTTCATTTAAAATTGTGAATTTAGATTTCGCTTGTACATCTGATTAAGTATTTACAATAGAGACTCCTGAGTTTTTAACTAAGGCATATAATACTTCATAAAGTAAATTAATTATTAAATATATTTTAGATGAGTAATAATTATTGAAAGAAGCATCATTCAAGTTAGCTACACTTCTGATATCATTTAACAAATTTTATAGTTTTGAATTTTTATACAATTAAGCAGAAAATAAATTATCAGAATAAGTAGCTAAATTAACAGCTACAAGATTACAAGAACTGTTAAATTCTTTTGTTAAGTAAAAAAATGAATAGTATGATAATATTGAAAAAGAAGCAGGAAAGATAACTGTGATGATAATAGATAGATCATATGATGTAGCTACACCATTATTACATGATTTTTATTATTAATCCATGATATATGATTTATTGGATATAACAAATGATATATATGAAAATGAAGTAGAAGCTAATGGAAAATAAATAAAATAGAAAGTCATATTTAATGAAAATGATGATTTATTCAATAGATATAAGTAAATAAATTATTTTATAATCCTAGATATCGACATATAATATAAGTTTTAGAAGGAATTCCTGTAGAATTTAGGGAATTTATACATAATAATACAACTGCTAAGGTTCATTAAGGATAAATGAATAATTTAGATTTGAATTAGATGTCAGAAATTGTTAAGACATTACCTTAATATAATGAATTATTAGGAAAGTACACTTTACATATGGTATAATAATATTTAAAAGTTATATAAAGAAATTAATTGAAAAGAGTTGGGCTATTTTTGAAAATAAGGGTCTAAAAGAAATAGGGGAAATTGAATAAGGTTTAGTAACAGGTATTGATGGAGCTGGTAAAAGTATTTCAACTACAAAAATATAAAGTTAAGTTGCAACTAAATTAATGAGTGAAACATTAGATGATTATGATAAATTAAGATTAATTTTATTAAGTAATTTATCTATATTATGTAGCTTCAATTGGTTTGGAAATGTCAGAAAAAGATAGGAAAATATTAACTGATAAAATAAAAGTTGAACATTAATAAGCTATATTAAATTTAATATATTTAGGAATCAATCCTTAAAAAGGTGGTTAAAAAAAGGTATATTTTTAGTAAAATAACTATATAGTCAAAATCTTCTAATAGAATTAATGATGACTTAAAAAAATAAGCTAAACATAAATTGGCTAGTGCTTGTACTGAATTATCTAGAAATACTCCTTTAATTGAAACATTAGTCGAAAGTTATATTGAATCTAATTACAAAAAACCATAAAAATTTGATTCTTTTATAATAAATGAAGATGGTATTGGTGGTAAAGGTAGTGGCAAATCAATTAGAAAAGGAGGATAATTAGCTAGAATGATGTAAAATGATGCTAGTGATGATACTATCAATTATACATAAAAATTAGTAAATTTTTTTATTATGAAATAGATTATTTTTGTTATTGGAGGTATCAGTTATTCTGAAATAAGAAGTCTATTAAGTAACTAAAAAATTACTAGTGCATAAATTACTGTAATTTAATTTATAATTATTAAAAGTTAGTTGGATCAACTAATATAATGAAACCAAAAGACTTTTGTTAAGGATTATTAGACATGAAGACTATTTGAATAATATATTTATAAAATATATATATGCATATTTAATCTTACTCATTTGTATATTGGGGATCCTCTTGGTTTAACTTGCTATTTATTAAAATTAAAAATATTTCATACATTATTATTTGGACTTTAATCTTTGTCTTTTTCAAAGCAATCATGAGCCCACTTTGTATTATATTAATAATTTCTTTAATCTTATAATATTATATATAATTTTTACTTCTATCATCCCCTTTTTATTCTCTCTCTCTATTGTTTCTATCTCTATCATTAAATCTATTTCTATATTTGTCCCTATTAAAACTATAGTTTCTTTCATTCCTATCACTTTTATCATTTCTATCATTCTTCTCATTCTTATCATTCCTATCATTTCTATCATTTCTATCATTCCTATCATTTCTTTCATTTTTATCAATTCTTTCATTTTTATCAGTTCTTTCATTTCGATCATAACCATCATTCCTATCATTTTTTTGATTTCTATCATAATCACGTTTATCTCTTTTATCAAATCTTCTATATGATGAATTATTATTATATCTACGATAGTTTCCTTAATAATTGTTTCTTCTTTCCACCTTGTTAAATCTAAGAATTAATAATCATACTTATTAATCATCCACTTTTTTTTCTAAATTGATATTCACATCATTTGCTGTTTATCCTTATTCTTACGTTTTATTTATTTAAGGAGGTTTATTTTTTCTCTTTATTGTTTAATCAATTCTAAATGGATAACATATTAAAAATGAATACTTTTTCAAATATGAATTAGCTTAACGAAAATCTTCATTCTTCCAACCACTTATTAAAATCAACAATAAACTTACAAAAGGTAACTATTCATATGACCTCTTCCTTTTTTTATTATATTTGGATCATCCTTTGGTTTTGATTTTGAATTCGACTTTGATTTCGATTTAGATCTAGATCTTGATCTTTAAGTTCTAAACTATTTATAGTATTTTACAACTTTTATTATGCCACAATATCTAAATTCACAAAGTTTGAATTACTTTATGAATTTTTTTCCTTTTTATCTTTTTTCTCTTTTTTTTATTTCTTCTTCCTATCTCCTATTATATAGTTAATATATAATTTACTTCTAGAACTACTTGATGAACTTGAATTCTTTCTATGCTCTCTTTTGGCTTTTTTCCTAAAATTTAAAATTATTTATACTTGGAGGATCTATCTGATGAACTTGATTCGGACCTTGTATTGGTACATATACACAATATACCTTTTCATAATTAAGCAATATATTACAAATGAATAAAAATATTAATTTATTTTTATAGTATTCTCAGAATATCTTTCAAAAGAAATTCAAACCATTAAAGCATTGTTTTAGAGAGAACAAAAAATCAATTAAAATTAATATACAATATTTCGAATAAAAATAATATTCAATTCATAGATTCATTTATTCATACATTCATATATAATGAAAATATAAAATAGTTTTCACAATTAACACAACTATCCTAATTTAATAAATTAATTTTAATAAATCAGAAATATTATTACTAGATATAATAATATGTCTTAAGCAAAAATTATGACAACAACTGATACAAACAATATTTATAAATGGCTTGTTTTAGCTAGCTTTTCATTAAACTCGTAATAATTAATTTAAACCATAGAATATCAAATATCTTTATCTTCAGTGCGTTGACCCCAATTTGGTCATCTGTTGCCATTTATTATAATGTTACAGATTATGATTTAAATTGGTTTTCAAATATGTACTTCATTTCCTTATTCACATCAACTTTTGGTTTCAATCCATTTATTTTGAAACATTTTGGCCAATCATAAATTTTTAGTTGTATTCTAACAGCAGCTGGACTTTGGATATTATTAATTTCTGGTGGAAATTTTACAATGGGATTATTGTGTTTTGGTCTATTAGGATTAGGAGAATCTCTTTATTATTAAGTACCTTTACGTAAATCATTTTAAATCATCTTAGATTTATCTAAAATCTGGTTTCCTCATGAAGAACGAGCACTTACAACATTTATAGGTTAATATTCAAGCAATATTGGAATTTTATTTGCATATATTTTTACATTTTACTATTTTTAAGAAGTGGTAATTTAATATCATAATTTTAGGTAGATGAAAATGAATTTAAAACAAGATATGAAAATATAATATTATACAATGCAATTTTTGCATCATTTGTTTTAATTTTCAATCTTATTACTCTCAAAAGACCAATCAATTAGAAAGACTCTTTTTAAATTAGAGACCCTTTATGGTTATCAATCAAAAAGATTTGTACTGCTGAAGAAGCTTTATTAGATTTATTATCATTTTCTGTTTGTAAATTTCTAAGCTTATATTAGTTATTGGTGTGGGTTGGAGTTATTCAACTCTTTTTAATATTTAATAATACAACATTGGCTATACAGCATAAGAATTATTTGAAACAAATATTTTTTATTAAGTAGGTGGTATTTCTAGTGCTTCTATTTTTACTTGGAAATTGCATTCTTAATCATAACATGGTTTATAATAGAGTTATGATAAATATATGAAATATATAGTGTCAATTGGATTTTGGTCATTAGCTATAGAAATTGTTATTTTTGATTAAGTTCCATTATGGATATTAGAGATTTTGAATTTTTTAATTGGTTGTGGATTCGCAGGATATTATTCAATATTGCTTGAATCGCTATAGGAAAAACATTTTCCTGCTTAAGAATTAGCAATAGGAAGTGTTCTTTGTGGAGTGGCATGTGTAAACATTTTTTAATTTTAAGTTCGCTTCAGTGTTAGTTATTATGATTTTAGGATTACCAGAATTTTAGAAATATGGATTTCAAATTTCCTGTTTCTTAATTATTATGCCTTTTTGCTTTATTGTTGTATTTTACAAAACCTCATTCAAAAGATTCGAATAAGAAGCTTGAACATTTCTTTCTTATAATGATAAAAATTTTATAGTCTATTTTAATTGCTTAATTAACCTTAATATTATAGTAAGTAAGATATTATAATATTTTATAATCAATTAAAATTTATATCTTATTTTAAAAAAAATATCACTGATTGATTTCTTTGTTTTTTAAAGTGATTTCCTTTTCAAATTCTCCTATTGTAAATGTATTAATCCAATATTGAGTTATTAAAGCTTTATTTTTTAACTATGTTTTTTCAAATTAATATATCTGATTTTTTTAGAATTGCTTTTTTCAACCTAATATAAAGAAATTAAATTACAGAAATCATTTATTTATAGATTATAATGAAAGAAGATAAATAAATATCAAAAAACAATGAAGGATTTTATTAATGGATTGTTTTGACAAGTTTTTGCTTGAATTCGTATTATTAAAAAACATATTTTAGAATGACTAATACCATTATGTTTTCTGCTTTATCACCAATTTGGTCTTAAGCGGCTATATATTATGGTACTACTGACTATGATTTAAATTGGTTTACAAACATGTACTTCTTTGGTTTAATATTTTCCTTTCTATTCAATCCTATAATAATTAGATTTTTTGGATTCTCATAAATATTAAGCTGTTGTTTTACCTCTATGGGTTCTTGGCTTCTATTATATGTAAAATAAAATTATTAGATGGGACTAATAAGTTTTGCATTCATTGGTTTAGGAGAAGCCTTATTTTTTTCAGTTCCATTACGTATATTCAAAAATTAAGATAGATATATCCAAACTTTGGTTCACTCATGATTAAAGAATTATATCTACTTATATTGCATAATACTCAAATAATATAGGCATGTTGTTAGGCTATACAATTGCATCAACATATTTTTATGAAATTGTACTTGTTTGTTTATAAATAAGGTTGATGAGGTTGAATTTAATAAGAGATATGAAAATTTGATTTTTTTTAATGCAATATTCGCAACAATAGCTTTGGGGTTTAATTTTACAACTTTAAAAACTTCTTAATTACAACATAATATTATTGAAATTAGACTTACAATTTGGGAATCTTTATAGAAAATTCTAATGGCTGAAGAAGCAGCATTCGATTTTCTTTCTATATCCTCATGTAGAAATAATAATATTATTATTAGTTATTGGATTGAGTTGGTGCTATACAATGTTATTTGGTACTCAATAATATTTTTTGGGTTAAACCTTTCTTTAAGTTACTTAAACTAGTATCTACTTTTAAGTGGGTTAGATATTAGCAGCCACTTACTGTACTTGGAAATTATATAAATAATCAAAAGCTGGAATTTAACAGGATTACGATATCTATATAAAAACTGTAATTAGTTTAGGATTTTGGTTACTTGTTTTCGAAATTCTTTTATTTGAGGATATACCCTTCATAATCTTAGTTTTTATAAATTTCTTTATTGGTGCAGGTTTAGGAGGATTATATTCTGTACTATTAGAAGCCTTAATGGAAAAGCATTTCCCAGTACAAGAATTGGCTATTGGATCTATTTTCGCTGCAGTTGCTGGTGTAATAATTTATATTTATATAGACTGTCGCAATAACTATAACAATGATATTAGTCATTCCTTAATTTCTTGAGTATGGATTTTAAATTTCTTGTTATCTAATGATCATACCATTTTGTTATATTGCTGTCTTTTATAAAACTAAATTTAAAAGATTTGAGGCTGAGGCTTGATTAATAAATTGATACTTATAACTAAAATAATATATATGATTTTAAACCTTATTTATTTATTGATGATCAAAATAAATTGAAATTAATAAACTAATTTCTTTGAAAATAATAAAATATCTAGAGCATTTTTGAAATATTTAATTAAGTATAAATAAATAAATCAAAGTGATAGAATATTAAAAATATAAATTTTCATAACTTACTTAATGTAAGTAAATTATGTAATTTATTAGAATATATTTTTGGATACAATTATTTATTTATGTTCTCAGCTCATATATAATTCTTATATTAATTAGAACAATAAGAAATAATGAATAGAATATAAATATACATTAAAAAAGATAAATAAAATCTGTTAAGCTAAAAAACAAAATAATATATCAAGACTCATTTTCAAATCTTTTATATTTAGTTTCATAAAAAACTAAAATATAACAAAATGAAGGAATCATAAAAAGGCAGGAGATATAAAATCCATATTCTAAAAATTAAGGTATAAATGAAATCATCCCAATTGAAAATGATAATGCCTAGCTATCTATAAATTGATTACACAAGCAACTGCAACCAACAAACTTGCTATAGCTAATTCTTATGCTGGATAGTGCTTTTCCATTAATGATTCTAATAAAATTGAGTATATTCCTCCTAGACCAGCTCCAATAAAAAGATTTAAGAAAATAATAAAATTAAAAGGGAGAAATTCAAAAGCTAAGTTTTCCACAATCAAACTAATAAAACCTAAACTAATTGTAAATTTAATAAATGTATCATAAGTTTGTTATAATCCTTTTTAAGATTATGAGTTCAATTTATAAGAACATATAAATGCTGCTGATAATTAACCAATAGAAAAAGTAATATTAGTTAAACAAATCTCCTCAGAAGTATATTCCAAAAAGTACTACTAAGTTCCAAATAATAAAATATAACACCAGCTTATACCAATAACTTAAATAATATTATATAATACAAGTAGATACAGATGCAACATCCAGAAATGTTTCCCATTAAGAACAAATTTTTTTTAGAGACACCCAAATTGAATCTCTGATTTAAATTTTATCTAATGAATTATATGGAGATTTGAGTGCTATAAAACTAATGAGAACGGTAGATGTAGCAAAAATTGCATTTAAAAATAGCAGATTTTCATATCTTAAATTAAATTCAGTTTCGTCATACTAAATTTAAAATAAAACTTTACTTACAATTTCAAAGAAATAATAAAATGAAACAACATATCCAATTAAACAACCTACATTATTTGCATATTAAGCAATAAAAGTAGTAAATATACGCTATTCTGGATCAAACCAAATTTTTGATAAATCTATTTTTCATATAATTATACATAAAGGTGTTTAACAATAAAATGCTTCTCCTATACCTAAAAATGCAAAACCTAGCATTCCTAATTAAAAGTCTCTTTTAACTGAAACCAAAATCCACAATCCAACAGATGAACATATGCAACTTATAATTTATGATAGACCATAATTATAAATAATAATTGGATTGAAAAGAAAGCAAAATAGTATTGGACCAAAATAATACCAACCTACTATCCAGTTTAAATCATAATCATTCGTATTGTAATAGATTGCAACTTGATACCATATAGGTGATACTATAGTTGATAACATTATATTAGAAATTCTAATTAGAATAAGATAATTACGAATTAAGACACATACTTCCAAGAACTAGTAATTTAACTATTTTTTTATCCAATCCTTCTTAACTTTACTTTTAGGTCTTCTGCATTTTTATCATTGTTAAGATAAAAATAATAATTATGCTTTGATTTGAATTAAATTAATATTTAAGAATTGATGACATTAATTGATTAAATGTAAACTGAAATAAAAATTTAATATTTATTGTCATAATTTAGTAAGATCTATATCACATTCAATGGGAACATGATCACTACCTTCAATAGTAGTAATAATATCAGATTGCAGAACAGAGTCAATCGCTTCCTTATTAATAACAAAATAATCTATTCTCCATCCCTTATTTGTTTCCCTTTTTATTATAAGCTAATATCTAACCTTGAATTAAATCTTGGACTAAAATAACTATATTTAATCTCTTTTGGGTGTAAATATCTAAATGTATCAATCCATCCTTTAGAGAGAAATTTTGTAAATTAATCCCTTTCTTCTTAAGTAAATCTTTATTATAAATATATCAATTACCCTGCACTTCTTTTATTCCCAGCAGGATTAGCTAAATCTATTTCTTCATGAGATACATTTAAATCACCACATACAATTGTTTTCTTTTTCTATTTTAATTAATCAAGATAGTTTTAAAAATCGATATCCCATTCTTATGTTCTATAATTCAATCTATCTAATTTATCCCCAGAATTTGGAACATAACATGCAACTAAATTGAATTTTTCAAATTCAGCTGTTATAATCCTTCCTTCTTAATCATGTTTCTAAATTCCCATATCATATTTTACTGATATTGGTTTTACTCTTTTTATTTTATTATATTAATACTTTGATAAAATAGCAACACCACTATATCCTGCCTTTATTTTACAAAAATTTAAATAAGCAAAATAATCTTTTGGCAATTTTGTTATTAAATTCTCCTTTTCAAATGCTTCCTAAGCAACCTTTAATTCATTTAAACAAATTATATCAAACTAATCATTTTAACAAATTCATTATACTTTTTTATCATTTAAATATTAAACTGCACTTTCTTTTTTAGTCGAGGCTCTAAGTCCATTAATGTTCCAACTAGATATTTTTAATTTATCCTATGAAAATATTCCATCTCCTAAATCTAACTTCTTTTAACTTAAATCTACTATCTATCCTTTCTTATCAACTAATTTAAGAGTTTATTATTTCAAAATTTTTGTATTCTTATTTTTTTCTTTTTCCTATTTAACTTCTTTTGTTTTATTCTAACTTTTATTCGTATTCTCCTTCTAACAATCATCTTATGAAAAAGAATCTAACACTTTTTTATTTAAAGTACAAAAAATACTTATTTTTGGAGGCATTTTACTAATTTTAAATATTTGGCTGTGTTTGATTAAATTCTTAGTTATTTGTAACATATAATTGTTTATTTCTTAATTTAATTACTTAATTCACTATTCAATTTTTATAAATCAAATATATCATTTCCAATAATGTCTTATAATTATATTAAATAGAATTAGAAATTTCAATTTTAAAATGATATTAATCATTTATAATATAGATATATAGTTTTAATATGGTTTATTGAGAACTCATTTTTCTTATTATAAGTAAGTCATTCTTTAAGTGGCTCGACATGCTTCGAGTTCAGCTTGCGCAAAACATAATTATTCTTAAACTTTATGATACTTTTCATTCAAATCTTAGAAATTCCTTCTCCAATCTAAATTTTCATTATGATAGGAATCTTATAATTCCTAATTTTTAATCATAATTATTCTATTTAATCTTTCAATTTCTTTATAAGCTTATTCCAAAGCTTGCTTTTAATTTCGATTTTCCTCATTTAATTACCTATTAAATTAAGTCATCTATTATAATTCATTATAAATATTGTCCACTTGCTTACTTTACTATTATAAAGAATTATCTTTATCTCTAAAAATTAAAATATTTATACTCCAAAATCTAAGTTAAAACATTAATTTAGCTGACTAATTAATCAATATTTTTTTCTTGCTCTCTTAATTTACTTGTTGAACCAATATTCTCTCTTTAAGTTTATTAAGTCAACTATAATTGCTCTTATAAATAGTAAATAGTTTTTTATTTAGTAATTAACTCATTTCGCAAATCTTCAACTAATTTTTATATTGCAATAAGTTCTTAAGCTAATTATTTTTAATCATTTTATCGTAGAGCCTATTCATTATCATTTTATCTATTTAATTGTAAATGATGAAGTCGTTCAATTTCCATACTCATTGTTACAACTTTATCATTTGACTCTTTCAGATGACTTTAATATTGAATACTACTTTCTCTAAATTTAATTTCGAGTTCTTATATTCTCAATTTTTAATCTTCATTCTGCTACCTTAAAATGTTGATATCATTAGTAAATAGTTATTCATTTTGTACTATTTATGAAATAGCAATGGTTACCTCTTTAATTGATTTCACATTACAACTACATTTCTAATTAGGAAGATCTTTATCTTTCTTATTAGATCTCAAAACGCAAATATTAGACTTCTGCTTTTTCTTAGCAAGGTTAAAGAACTTGATTTTCTAAAGAATCAGTTTTAAAAGTAAGATTTGGCGAGAATGGTCTGATCTAACTATTGAGTGCAGGTGTATTTCCTTTTCTCATGGATCTACTCATTTTAACAGTTAAATATAAATTAATATTAAATAATGTATATTAGTTTGAATATTAGGAGAGGTGAAAATTTGTTGAGTTTATCAATAAAAGATAAGTTTGATTAAAATTAAATAGATTTAAACAATTTAGATTGATTTTTAGAAATCGAAAAAATCTAAATTGATTATAAGTAAATAATTAAAAAAAATATATAAAAAAAATGAGTAATGGAAGTGTGAAAGACATTTTGAAAGATAAAAAGAAAGTAAGATTTGTAGCTGAGAGTGCATTTAAATAAGTTGATAAAGATGGTAAATAATAAGAGTATATAAAAAACAGGTAGTGGATATCTTGAAAGACCAGAGCTTGAAGAAGTAATGAATAATGTAGCGGCTGATTTGGGAGTTGAAGTATATATATAAATATGAATAATAATCATAGCCACCAACAAGCGAAGAAATTGATGAAGTATTAAAAGAATTAGATGAGAATGGAGATGGAAAGCTATCAATAGATGAATTTTAAGTTTTGATTGAATAAGTTCTAGAGATGATGGCAAAGGTAGAGGGTTGAATGAATTTAAGATGCACATTTCTTATTAATTTTAATAATCACTATAAGTTTCTAAAAAATAGATAGGATGTATTTATTATAAGAATATATATATAAATATATATATATATATATTTTAAGAATATAATAACTAAAAAATATTAAAATTGCATTAAATTTTATTTCTATATGATATTATGATTATTTGGAGTATAAATGTAAATCTTGTAAGAAGGATTTTGATAAAATAATAAAAAAGAATAATTTAGAAGATGTCTTTCTATCCTGGCTATTCTGGCTATCCTTATGCAGCAGCACCATTGACAACCTCAATTGCATCACCAGTAACATATGCTCAACCAGTGTCATATGCTCCTTAATTGTCATATGCAGCTCCTGTATAATATGCAAGACCTGTCACTTAATCTGTCGTATAGCCTGTTGTTGCTCAACCTGTTGCTGTTTAACCAGTTTTACAATAATCTGTTATTGCATAACCAGTTGTCCAACAACCAGTCTAACCAGCAATCAAAGGAGAATCTAGAGTTGAATATAGAGAATACTAAAGACCTGTCGTTGAAATGGAAACTGAGACTGTTTAAGTCTAAGTCCCAAAAACAAAATATGTCACAGATTATTACCCTGTTGAATATTAAACAGAATATATCCCTAGAACAGTCTATGAATAATAAACTGAATATGTCCCAGTCACTAAAACAGTTCCAAGAGTAGAATATGAAGCAATTGAAAGAGAAGTTTAAAGAGTATATAATTTTATATATAAATTTAGGCCTAACCGGTGGTTGTTTAATAACCTGTTGTATAATAAGTTGTTCAATAACCAGTCGTCTAATAAGTAGTATAACAACCAGTTGTTTAATAAGTCGTACCTTAACCCGTTGTTTAATCTGTTGTCTAATAGCCATTGTCATATTCATTAGTAAGACCAGCACCAACATATACTGCACCTGTTGCTTATTCAAGTGTAGCTCCTGTAGCTTCATATCAAGGATATTATGGAGGATACAGACCCTTCTGATGGTTATTTTACAAAAATAAATATAAATATATCAATCTATCACAATTCATCTTATTACTTAACTTATGTGACTTCCTTTTCATTATTTAAACTTACTTTTGTTTATCCATTGTTATATTTAAAATCAATTTATCATCATCATCTAATCATTACAATATAACTTAATTTAATTTTATCATTGGTTTATTTCTAATGATTAATTTATATGTTTTCAGACATGGTTAGTCCATTTATTAATGTCTTAGAGTTATTTCTGGTTTACATGAATTTGGATTGAGTGCTCTGGGAAAATATCAAACATATAATCTAGCATCAAGAACAGATGTTGATTTTGAAATTGCATATATATCTGATACTAAAAGAACGATTGAAACATTTGAAATGTTAAAATTAGCAGGTAAAATGCCACCAGAGGAAAATTGTATATTTACTCCACTTATCAGAGAAAAATGTTAAGGTGATTTTGTTATGCAAGAGTTCAAAGCATTCCCTGTAATAATTTTTATCTAATATTTAGGATGATCCAAATAAAAGAAATTTTACTCCATAAAATGGAGAAAGTTGGGAAGATATTTAAGTCAGAGTTTCTAAAACATTTGATTTTCTTGTTAGACGTTATCTACTCTAACAAAAAAAAGCAAAACATAATGATGATGAATATGTCAAAGCATTATTTCAATAATCATAACATATTAAATCAAAAAAAAATAATATCATCTTAGTAACTCATTATGGTTTTATCAAAGAAATTGTACATTATCTTAAAAAGGCTGATTAATTATAATTAGAATAACCTTATTTTGCATAAAATGCTACGCTTTTCACTTTACAATTACATCTTAAAGAAAACTAAAATTGGTAAGCCAAAATTATCAGTCTCAATAGCTACACTAGATAATACAGACCTTTTATGGATTGATTGTAAATAAATAATAATTTTATATATAATTAATATTTCATACAATCAAAAATTTATTTATCATATCTTCTTACTCATCTATTCAACTCGATTTGCTTATTCTCTTAATTTATCTAGTTCTCTTTAATCCTCTATTTTATCTTGCATTCTCAAATTAACCTCCCTCAATTTACTTTTTATTTATTCTCTCTTAAAATCTTCAAATTATCTTTGATGTTTAATACACTCCTATTAATCAAATCTTTTCTTCAATTTCTAGTATGACTATTATTAATGCATTAATTCTTGCTCCTTCTTAACTCTTTATATCTATCAAAAATCAAAGCTATTCTATTACCTTTTCATCTTAATCTTTCAATTTTTATAGATATTCTTATCTTTTCTCCTCTAATTATTATACATTCATTTTTAAAAATTTTTCTATATGTTTTGCTCTTCTTTCAGTTTACTATTTAATAAATTCATCTTTTGCTCCAGATTCACTTCTTTATTACAATCTATATTATATTTCTTATTATCTTTCTGCATATTATCTTTTAAATTCATCATGCATTAATTCTTTCATTTAAGCAGTGTTTCGAATCTTTTCATTTATCATCTTATTCTTTTCTTCTATAGATAATTATCGTTAATGAAGTTGTTCTTAAAATTAATGTTGTTTTTCTGCAATCCTCTCTTCCTTCTTTAAATAATCATCTCTTAACTTCTTTTAAAATTCTATTTAATTTCTTAATGCTTCTCTCTATCTTAATTTAGCAGTCTATGCCCTTTTTTATGCGTTAAGTCTTTTTTGCTATAATTGCTATTAAAAAAATTCTTATCTTCTAAGTTCTTGTTCTTCATCTTAAGATTTCCTTTAATTATACTCTAATTCTGCTTATTTCTCTTTCATTTTTCTTTCCTTTTCTAATTTTTATTTGAATTCATGTTACTATTATTCTCTATTAGCTACTTCTGCTTTTCTTTATTATTCTTCAATCTACTATTATTCAAGTCTTTATTATTCTTTAAAAAAATATTCTTATTATAATTATCCACTTTTCTTTTATTCCTCTAATTCCTTCAGTTTTTTTTATCTTGCAATAAACTCTTATTTTGTCTAAAATGCTTATTACCTTTATTCCTATTTTTTCTTTCTTTACTCTTCAAACAATTACATTTTTTCTTACTACTATTGATTTTATATTTCACGCTTTAACTTTAACTCTTGTATATGTCTTTACTTGATCATTTCCATATATTTCTTCTTCTTAACTTAATCCATAAATTTAGATGAATTTGAACTAATAAGTGATCTGTCTTCTATAAATTTAATCATATTCGATTCTATTTTTTTTCTTTTTTCTTTTTCTAACAAAGCTTCTCTATCCTTTATTAACATATAAACTTTTTATTATCTTCGATATTCATAATGTTTATAAAAATCTTCTAAGTTCTCTCCCTATAATGAATTTTCTTATTTTAACATCATCATCAACTTTTCTTTATTTATACAAATCAACTCTTCTTAAGTCATTCCTCTTTACTTTAAGACTATTATTGAACGAGGACTGTTAATTCTACATCTTTAATCTGCAGGATTGAAATTGATTAGAGATATCATTATAATTAATTAAATTATATTGATTTGTCTATTGAAATCATTATTGCTTGAATACAAAATCCCATTTTTTTAATTGTTATTTATCTTACGGAGGTTTCTCTGCAAATTTTGCACTGTTTGTAGATTCCACTAAAGAAACATCATTTATAGAAATCCTAGATAAAATACTTAAGGTATCATCAGGCAAAGACTATTATTACTAAAAATGCAATGTTTAACTACGATTATGGACTTTAAAAGAATCCTTTTAAGCACTGTTGTTAATACTATTTGTTTTCTTTTGAGATAGATTTAATTATTATTATTATTTTGATACTTAATGTTGTTATTATGTTGCAATAAAACTTGAATTTAATTGAGGTAATTCTTTCAAAAATTAATCATCTATATTAAATTAACCATTTAATCTTTGAAGTTATTATTTAATCCAAACTATACTTTTACCATATTAGTGAGGTAATCTTATAATATCAGTATTAAGCTATTCAGAACCATTATTTAAAGATTAAAAAAAATGATTCAAAATTTATATAATTGTACTTAACGCATCTTGTAAAGAACATACTTCATCAATTAAACCTTTTCTTGTTGAAATCCATGTATCAAAACTATTTTGTTATGATATCTAAGTTTTTAATGGCATTGTATCATATTTATTAGCATAATTGATTCTATCTTTGCTTCTTATCTATTATTTAATTTATTATGTTAACCTAATCTTTCATTTTTAAAAATTCCAATTCTTTTTTTTTGAATTCACTTTACATCACTTATACTTTATTTTAAATTTTAATAACCTTTTAATTCAACTCTTCCTTTCAGATAAAAATTTATCAATACCTTCTCTTAAACAAGTTTATCATTTACCAATTTATTTGATTTATTCAATAAAGTAATTTAGTTCTCTAGTTAACCTATAAGCTTCATTCTATTCAAATATATGAAATAGAATTATACTTTTATTCTATTTCTTCTTATAATCGTTTAGCCTTCACTTTTAAAGATTCATTGTCACTTTTAATTTTAAAAAATTCATCTTCATAATTATTTTGATTTTTTATTGTGGCTGATTTAAATAAAAATACTGCATGTATTATTTCATAAACTTTTGATAAATATAATGGAATATTAAAATTCTCTTCTGGAAAAAGAGGCATTTCTATTATAAGAGTTTCTTTTTAAATTACATTGTTAATTTAAAATTCCATTAAATTGTTAAAGCATCTACATCCATTCTAAAAGTTTAATATGAAATTTTATACTTTTAGTTTCACACACTATGCAAGATTCTGAAATTTTACAGTCGCACTTAAAATCTTCAATTTCATCAACCATTTTATCTAAAAAGCTTGACATTTGAAACTTTTCTGAAAAAATGATCTTAATTAGATATGTATTTCATACGCTTTGTTCATATGGATTTGAAAACATTTTAAAAAATAAATAATAATGAAATATATATTTTCGCACAAATATCTATAACAATATTGATATTTACTATGATAGAGATGAGATATTAAAAAATAAAAATTCGCTAATATAATTAGATAATGATTTTCAATAAAAAAATTTATCCTCCGTTAAAGAGAATACAAGAAAAAAAAACAACCACATAAACAACTTATTTCAGCGAAATCATTTAAGTTGCTCAATAAATCATGTTAGCCATAATGATTAAAAAAAAAATGATTGTAAGGTTATTTAAAAACAATAAATTATTAAATTTAGAAGAGAGTTATGAGGGAAATAATACAAATGAATTTGATGATTCTCTATTGAGGTAATTGTAGATTTGTGTATTTGATGATAAAACAATTTTATTCATTCAAATTTAAATCATTTCACCTCATTAAGAAATTTTAACTTCTTAAAATGTATAATTATTATATATCAATAGAGAATAGATCTTATCTTTAACTACAAATTATCATAATTGAATTCCAATAATCATGATATTATCTTTTATACAGACATGGATTAAATTATGGTAAAAAACTAGATCTATTTACCAAGTTTAATAACTTTAAGTTAAATGAAAAAAGAAGAATTAAATGAAATAATTTCTTAGGTTCTTTCAAAGTATGATGAAATAGAATAAACGATTATGTAATAAAAAGATAAATTATTCTCTTTGTTAGAATTAGATAATTTTTATATTGAAATTTATTTTCAAGATCATTTACCTTCATTTAAAAAATTCTAAAATGATAACGACAAACCTTAAATTGAAAATGAATAAAAAATAACAATTGTTTTCGCTAGAAAATGTGAATTTAATAATGATTAAATATCTGTTGAAAATGAAAATTATCTAAATAAATAAAACCTAAATTAGAAAGAATAAAACATAATCAACAATTTGCAAAATCCTTTACTCTAACAAAATTAATTCTAAGTAAACGTTTATTGCATAGAACTTAAAGCTCCTTAATAAACTAATAATTTACTAATAAAAGCACTAGATGGATAATTACTACAAGAATTCTTAAAAACTTAAACATTTTAAGAAAATACTAATGAATTTGAAATAAATTAAAATTAAATTTACGTTCCTGAAGAAGATCCAAATTAAAAAAATGTTTTAAAAGAAAAATTACCTGAAATACAAATATCAGTCTAAAAAAAAATATAAATTTTACAAGATGTCATTCTGATTATATCAAATCAGCAATAATTGCTATAAAATTCAAATTTTAAAGGAAAATTATCAGTCATCTCGATGATTAGATTTTGTAATGAATTGGGGGCTAGACCAATAATAATTATGAAAAAAAAAGAAAAGAAACTCATAGACATAGAAGAAAATCGAAAGCATTGCAATATAATAATTAAAAATTTCATTAATGTACTCTTTTTTTCAGATGAATATTAATCAAAGGTTAAACCTATAGAAGATATATGTGGAGAATTTTTGAGAAATTTATCATAATGCAAGGATTTTCCAGACTATTTTGAAATTTAGATTAAATTGGAAAAATTAATTTATTTTATTAATTAAATATATTGTGTGAACCTTTGATTTGATTTATTAAGCCAGACAATTTTTTTAAGATTTTATATTTTATAGTATTTTTTCGGCCTTTTTTTTTCTAATCATATATTTTAAATTGAAATTAAAAAAAAAAAAGAAATGAAATAACTTTTAGTAGATGATAATAATTTACATGAATGTTTAAAATGTAAAATGAATTTTCCTGGAAAAGAGATGTTACAGCATGAAAAACAATGTAAGGAATAAAATCAAAACAAATAATATCGAAACAATTTCAATTAAGATTAGGAATATCATGCACTAAATAAAAATTAAATCAACAACTAAAATTTTCAATAATAAAATATAAATATGCAAAATTCTAATTATCAAAACCCTAATTCAAATTTTTCAATTAGATGTGAGTTCTGTGATCAAAATATTCCTTACTTATAGCATACATAACACTTATAAATGTGTGAGGCAAAAGCAGAAACAGATAAAATAAAATAAGCAGAACTTCCTTTTCTAATATAATGTGATAAATAAAAGGAAGATGATAAAAAAATAATTGAAATTTTATCCCAATATTTTTAGATAATAGAATAATATGGATATATTTTATAGAAAGGGGATGAGTTAGTAAAAGCAGCAAATCTATCAATCGAACCATTTACAAAAGTTTTTTAACAAAAAATATGTAGATTTTGTTAATAGAGCTTTAAATTGGATGAAGAAATTGTAATTATGAAATGCTGTATGTATCAATACCATCAAAAATGTTTTGCATAAAACATAATTAATAAGAGTAAAAATTGTGAATGTGGCAAATAAATTATAGATTGATATTGTCTTCATGAATATCTAAACTTAAAATTATGATTAAGACATTATTAAAATTGATTCATTCTAAATCATCTTCTTCAAAAGGCATTTCCTATTAGGTGACATCAGTTTTGCAAATTGGACAAGTAGTTTATTCTTTAAACCATTCTGAAATACAAGTTTTATGAAACCTATGAATACATGGAAGAAGAATAAGCTCTTCCCCATCTTCATAATTAGTAAGGCAAATTGAGCATTATTTATATTCTTAAGAAAGTCCCTCATATGGTGCAAATTTAATAACTGCTAAATTATCTAACTCCTAATTATTTTGACGTTGTTAACCAAAGATACTCCTATTATAATATAAAAATAGAATTTACATCATTGGTATTTGGAAAAATCTTCTTCCTTATTAATTTCCAAAAAATGGATTATTATTAAAGATATTATTTAAAATAGTATTTCCAAGTGAATTTCTTTAATTATTTAAAATAAATAACCCAGGCATTCGCTACTATTAAGGAGATTAAACAGTCGTTTATTCAGTGATTTCTCCTGTTAGATTATTTCTATAAGTTTTAATAGTTCTTATAGCTCCATCAGGTAAAGTTTCTTATCTTATACGGGTTTAAACGTTAGTTCCTTACCGACGTGGTTATTAATTTTAATAAGCTTCATTATAATTTTAATATTAAAAATATTATTGATTACTTTGTTGAGGAAAATTTTATGGAATGTTATGATTATGATGATTGAACTGTTCCTCATCATCAAATTCATGTTAATATTAATATTATTCCTATTCAATTATTTTTTTTGTTTCGCATAAAGGGTAATGTTAATCTAGGATTGAAATAGGATATAATTCACCACAATACTCACATTCCTTATACTCTGTCACAAATGATTCATCATATTAATTTACATTATCTTAATTATTTCTTTATATTTCCTAAGTGTTATTCTATTATAGTTAACTAAAGCCAATTTTTGATTGATTTTAATTAAATCTACTATTTTGTTATGAATTATAAATGGTTGATTCAACATAATTAACAGGTTATCCTTAGGAACTTTATTGAATAGTATTTGATTATTTTGGAATGATCGAATTTTAAAAGTTAGATTGATTCTATTTGACTTCTGATGAGATTTACGATTAATAATTAGGATGATTTGATGCATTGCATTCTATTGTATGAGCATACATTTATTTAATATTAATCCTTTACTTACAATATTTGCATTTGACATGATCTTCATTTTTAGATTACATTCTATTTATCACAATAATTAATTATATTGATATAGTTCGAATTAAGTTTTGCATGGCAAATATTTTATAATAGAATTAATTTGAAAGGGATTATTGGATTTTATGGAATAGTTTAATAAAATTAATTGAACTATTCTCTAGTTTTAATAGAGGAAGTGTACATTATACCAATTTTTTAAAATATAATTCAGAATTCATCAATTAAATTAATTTAACAGAGATGGTTGAAAAATCTACTATGAGATGGTTGTGTGCTATTTGTACTTGTTGTTGGTGGTTCAGTTATTATGGCTTTTTGAATAATTGTGTTAGAGGATGTTAAATATGTATAGATGGTAAATTGGTTCATTTATTTATTCTAAGTTTTTGATGCAACTGTCTCGGCAGTTTGGAAGGGCATATTTTGTATATTTATGTGTTGTTGTTTTGGGTTTGAATGTATGACATGTGTATTGTGTATCTACACATGTATTGAATTATTTAATGATCCATGTTAAAGATATTAAGCTGAAGATTCATGGATCAATGCTTTTTGGCAGTTGGTATATCTAAAGGATCTAGAAATGGAAGGAACAGTTAGAGAAAAGCTCAAAGAGATATTTGCTAAATGATAAAATGAATAATATATATAATGGATTGCATGTTCATTCATATTTTCACTTTGTTTTTTTTTATATTTGTATCAGATATTCTTTAAAAAGATATATATAAATAATTTATAAAAAACAATTTAAACTACCAATAGCATCAATATAAACTCATTATAATTTGTATTCCTATTAAAATTAAGCTTGTTTCATCGTTACAGGATTGCATTACTCATAATCTGTTTAAAATTTCATTTTCTCTTCATAGTAGTTTAAATATACAGCAGAATCTGTTTGAGTCACTTTCGAATCAAATTTAAAATATAAATATGCTCCTGCACAAAAACAAGATAATATCATATTTATTGTATGCAAAATCATATTACTATAAGTGTTAATTAGAACAAACTAATAACATGCTGATCCAGCTGATATTAAAATTGGTGATATTCCCAGTAATTGAAGAGTAGAATCATTTAAATTTCTATTTATTGTTGGAGGATAAGAACATCTTCTTAATAATGTATATTTGCACGCCCAAAAATATAAAAATAAAGACAACACTTACATCATCATTCCATAAGGAAAAATGCAAACATAAAACATACTCATCAAAATACTCTTGTAAATAGATGAATATTTATCTGCTATTCTATAATCTGGTCCTTCAAATAATTCATGTGTTTGTTGTTATGTGAGTATAATCTATCTTTTATCTTATTCCTTTAATAATTAATTCTACTTTATTAACTTTAAAACATATAATGGATCCAATATTTCTAAGATTGGNGATGGTTGAAAAATCTACTATGAGATGGTTGTGTGCTATTTGTACTTGTTGTTGGTGGTTCAGTTATTATGGCTTTTTGAATAATTGTGTTAGAGGATGTTAAATATGTATAGATGGTAAATTGGTTCATTTATTTATTCTAAGTTTTTGATGCAACTGTCTCGGCAGTTTGGAAGGGCATATTTTGTATATTTATGTGTTGTTGTTTTGGGTTTGAATGTATGACATGTGTATTGTGTATCTACACATGTATTGAATTATTTAATGATCCATGTTAAAGATATTAAGCTGAAGATTCATGGATCAATGCTTTTTGGCAGTTGGTATATCTAAAGGATCTAGAAATGGAAGGAACAGTTAGAGAAAAGCTCAAAGAGATATTTGCTAAATGATAAAATGAATAATATATATAATGGATTGCATGTTCATTCATATTTTCACTTTGTTTTTTTTTATATTTGTATCAGATATTCTTTAAAAAGATATATATAAATAATTTATAAAAAACAATTTAAACTACCAATAGCATCAATATAAACTCATTATAATTTGTATTCCTATTAAAATTAAGCTTGTTTCATCGTTACAGGATTGCATTACTCATAATCTGTTTAAAATTTCATTTTCTCTTCATAGTAGTTTAAATATACAGCAGAATCTGTTTGAGTCACTTTCGAATCAAATTTAAAATATAAATATGCTCCTGCACAAAAACAAGATAATATCATATTTATTGTATGCAAAATCATATTACTATAAGTGTTAATTAGAACAAACTAATAACATGCTGATCCAGCTGATATTAAAATTGGTGATATTCCCAGTAATTGAAGAGTAGAATCATTTAAATTTCTATTTATTGTTGGAGGATAAGAACATCTTCTTAATAATGTATATTTGCACGCCCAAAAATATAAAAATAAAGACAACACTTACATCATCATTCCATAAGGAAAAATGCAAACATAAAACATACTCATCAAAATACTCTTGTAAATAGATGAATATTTATCTGCTATTCTATAATCTGGTCCTTCAAATAATTCATGTGTTTGTTGTTATGTGAGTATAATCTATCTTTTATCTTATTCCTTTAATAATTAATTCTACTTTATTAACTTTAAAACATATAATGGATCCAATATTTCTAAGATTGGCAAAATTAATAAATTGCCTAAAAATATAAAAAATAGACTAACAGCTAAATTATTCTAATCAAAATCAGTAAATATAAACAATCCAAAAGGTACTAAAGCAGTATTTATGAATTGCATTATTGTTTAAGTGACCATTACACTTCTAGTTTCATTTGTATAAGTTGTATGTTTCTCATACTTTGATGTAATTTTTATAAGCATTTCCAAAATTTAATTAATAATCAAAATAGCCAAAGCACATAAACCTGACAATACATATTTCACATAGAATGAATTACTACTTTTTGTTTGATTTTGAGTATATGAAATCCCATAAACTATTGAAGCTCCAATAATTACAACAAAAAAATTTAAACTTAAAGCCAACAACCTCTTACATCTTTTTTCAGAATGACTTGTATTAAAATTTTCCCATATTATATCTAAAGGTTCTGGTGCTCTTCTGATATATACTCTTTACCCATTTATAAATTTCCATTTCTGGGTATCAGAACTAAAATAATTGAGCATTTGATCACAACATCCAAAATAATCCATTATTACTTCATACCATTTATTTTATTTGGATTTTTCTATAATTTTATCAACTTCACTTTCATCTTATAATGTTACTAAAACGTAATCAGTTCTTTAATATAAATTATTAAGAGTGATTTATTACTCATAGAGAGAAATTTATTTATCCAATACTTAGATATCAAGCATAATTTAATTTAAAATGCTACTTTTTTCTCTGACTTCTTCAGGACGAGTCATCAAGGCATAAATCTTTTATTATTCTTATAACTTTTCATTTTTTTTTTTCTTGTCATTCATATAGTCTTAAATATTTAAAGGACGTATAATTTTAACAATTGATGATGGATTAACATTAAAATTGTACTGAAAGTATTATTCAATCTACTATTTTTCATGATTATAAGGATAATTTCTTAATAATAAAGTAAAATCACTAGGGGAGCTATTTATAGAGAAATGAAGATTTTTTTATTAAAACCTTTTGATAAAGAAAAGACCTGCTGTTACAAAGAATGTTCCTAAAAATGCCAAGACAGCTTAAATAGTTAATTATGTTTCTGTTTTATTGACAGTATATGCTACTCCTACAAAATGATAACATCCTTATTGTTGGTTTTTTTCAGTATCCATTAAACTAAAATGATATTCTTTATAACATAAGTCAGAAGTAGTGATGATATTGTAAATTCCAACAAGAACGAAGATTAGTAGTAATAGAATTGAATATAATTTGATTGATTAAAAGAACAAAGGGATTCCCTCACCTAAAATAAATGAGATAACTAATTAGAATTACCTAAAAATTAAAGCTTAATAATGTCCTCACATAATCCTATAGGTATTTTATTTATTGACATATTGCAACAAGGACAATATTCTTATTAGTTTTAATTTTGATATCCAACTTGTTTAGCTTTAGCATGAGCATAGACTAATTCTAGTAATATAAATGAATAATGTAATTACTGAAATCAGGGGGCATAGCAAATGGATTGTATTGATTGTTTTAATTCATTAAAATAATATATCCCAAATCCACCAATCAAATGAGAGTTTTGATAATTTTTGTGTGCCAATTTTTGAGTAATATTTTTAATATTAAAAATGGCAAGAACTAAGTAAACTGCAAGAAAGAGCACTGCTGGTAATAAAAAACCAACTAAGCATTTGGCTACAAAAGCAGCTAGAAAAACTGCTCCAGCTGTAGGTGCTGCTGGAGGTTTGAAAAAGCCACACAAATTTAGACCTGGAACTGTTGCTTTAAGAGAAATTCGTAAATATCAAAAATCAACTGAATTGTTAATCAGAAAGTTGCCATTCTAAAGATTAGTTAGAGAAATTGCTCATGAATTCTAAAAGGAACTTAGATTCTAAAGCTCTGCTGTCTTAGCTCTCTAAGAAGCTGCTGAAGCCTACCTTGTTGGATTATTTGAAGACACAAACTTATGTGCAATCCATGCTAGAAGAGTTACAATTATGTCAAGAGATATACAATTAGCTAGAAGAATTAGAGGAGAAAGATTCTGATATTTTTAATACAGAAAATTATTATATAACATTTTCAAAAAATCTTTTAATTTAAATTACTAATTAATATGAATTTCATATCAACGTAGCTCTCTTTAAATATTTCTGATACATAATCTATATATTACAAAATTTGAATTTGAGATTCCCTCCTAATATTTAATATTTTTAAGTTCAAAAATCTACTATAATCTATTCTAATTTATTATTATGTGATTTTTAAAATAAATACACATATTCTGACAAAAAAATGTATATAATTTATAGCTATTTTATTTATTAAAAAATTCAATAAGTTCTTAATTTAATTAATAAGTATTATATCAGAATATGTATTTTGAATGTCCATGTTCCTTTAGAATGGAATTAGAATAAGAAGATTAAATTATAAAGCATATAGATTTATGTTAACAATTTAATATTGACAGTCCTTTATGCAATATGTACAAAAGAGGAAATGTTGATGAAGTACCAATTGAATAATTAGTAACTTTTTTATGTGATCTAAAATTATAAGTAGAAAGAATAGAAAACATTTTAAAAAGACGTATAAATTTATAAATATAACATAGGTGGCTTTAAAAAATAAACTATGTCAACTATTTAAGATCTAAATTTTGATCATTATGCTAAATATACATCCAATTCAAAAATTAAATTAAACAATTCTGGAATAAAAAATAATGGAATTACATTCAGAATTTAGACAAACAATAATTCTGGTGATAAATAGCAAAATAACATTGAATAAGAAAATGTACATTAAAATAATCAACTACCTCCAACACCTCCTCTTTCACCTAATCATTTTGAAGATGAGAGATATTAAAATAATAATACAGCTCATTAACCAACTATGTTAATTGAAGAACAACCAAAACAATTAACTTAATAAGATTAAAAAATTGCATGTGAAGGTTGTAGAAAACCATTTTTTTTTAATTAAGATTTTGAAAGATTATGGTTTGTGGAATAGTGTGGACATGTTATGTGTAAATTATGTATTTTACGTATGGTATAAGAAAAATATATTGAAAATGATGGAAGAATTATGTGTTAGGAAATTGGATGTATTGCTAGAATCACTTAATTTGAATTAAAATAAATACTTGGAGATGATAAATTTAATGATTTAGATAAAAAATTAGCACTTAAAAATTAAAATATTGTTGAATGTATAAAATGTAAATCTTAATTTTCTTTTGAAAAAGGTAATCCAAATGAATAAGTTAAAGATTAATAAGGTAAAAGTATTAGTGGTGAAGCATTAATAAATTATGCTAACAATAGATTTATTTGTAAATAATGTAAAACAGAATAGTGTAGATAATGCAATGCTTTTCCATTTCATATTGGAATGACATGTTAATAACATAAAAATAATTAATAAGCAAATAAATGTATATTATGTGATTTTCCTTGTGATGGAAAAGTTTGTAATTAAGAAGATTGTCAAAAAAGAATATAAAGATTATGTCAGAAAACTTTAAATTGTGGTCATAACTGTAATGGAGTTTAAGGTGAAGAATGTTTATGTTTACGTTGTTCTAAATAAGATCCTGATGATTATTGTAATATGTGTTTTACTGAAGCTTTAAAAAGTGCTCCATGTATTAAAACAGAATGTGGACATATATTTCATGAAGAATGTATAATGAAAAAACTTGATGCTAAATGGAATGGGCCTAGAATTGTGTTTTAATTTTGTACATGTCCATTATGTAAATAATGGTTGGATGTTAAACATAAAGAAATTTAAAATAAAATAAATTTAGCAAAGTAATTAAAATTATAAGTGGTGGATTTATGTATAGAAAGATTAGAAATTGAAGGATTAAAATAAGCTAAAGAATTAACAGATCCTAAAAGTTAGTTTTATTAAAAACCTTAAGAATTTGCTATGGATAAATTTTGTTTTTATGAATGTTTTAAATGTAAAAAACCTTATTTTGGAGGAATCAAAAATTGTTAAGCAGCTGCTGAGAATAATGATAGAGCTTAATTCAATAAGGAAGATTTAATATGTTCTAGTTGTTGTCCAATCTCATTTGAAGCTAAATGCAATAAACATGGTATTAAATATATTGAATTCAAATGTCGATTTTGTTGTTCAGTCGCTGTATGGTTTTGTGGGTATAATTAAATTTATATTTTTAAGAGGAACTACTCATTACTGTGAACCATGTCATAGTGGGAGAAATCCAAATATGAATAAACCTTGTCCTGGTCCTGATAAATGTCCATTACGTGTTAATCATAAACCTACTGGATAAGAAAATGCTTTAGGATGTGCACTTTGTCGTTCTAAAAGAGTTGATGATATACTCAAAAAAAACTGATTTCTAAATATAATTAATTATTGTATTAATTTTAAATAATATTTTATATCTATTCATAATAAAAAGTAAAAATACTAATCGTTTTTTTGATATAAGTATTATTGAATATAGAACTATTATTATGATAGAGCATTTTTCAAAGATAAAGATTAAAAAGAAAAAAGAAATTGTTATAAAATATGGAGTGAATCATAGATTAATTAATTTTAAAGTTTTATTAATTAAATATGCGTTCGAATTATGCAACAAATACAGAGAATGGATCTGCAAATAAGCCATAACAATATTTCGAAGGTAACAGAAAAGGAGAAGTAAATGAATTGAAAATGTATCAATATATTAATTAAATATAGATTGGTAAAGAATACTTTAAATGAAAAGGATGATAAAAAGAAAAGAGAAGTAGTAAAAAAGGTGATTGCGTATATGACATTAGGTATAATATAATAGTAAATTAGGAATCGATGTATCTAAATTATTTCCTGAAATGTGTATGGCATCATATACAAATGATTTGGTATAAAAAAAGATGATATATTTATATCTAACAACATATGCTGAATAGAATAAAGATATGGCATTTATGGCTATAAGTACATTTTAAAAAGATTGTAAACACAATGATCCAAAGATTCGAGGTTTTGCATTAAGAAATTTATGTTCTCTTAGATTTAGTGGTGCAATAGAATATTTGATGCCAGCAATAAAAGAAGCTTTATCAGATATTGATGCATATGTAAGAAAAACAGCCATTATGGGATGTGTAAAAGTATTTTATATGCAACCAGAGTAATTAAACAATATAGAGGATTAATTATATAAAATGATAAGTGATAATGATCCACTAGTTATAATAAATGCAATTCATGCATTAAATGAAATTTTAGCATCTGAAGGTGGAATGGCATTATCAAAAAAAATGGTTGATTATTTGTTAGGTAGATTGAAAGAATTTAATGAATGGGGATAGGCAACTATTTTAGATGAATTAGCTAAATACTCTCCCAAAGATGATAAAGAAATGTTTAACATAATGAATTTATTAGAAGAGAGATTAAAACATTCTTGTTCTGCAATTGTCTTAGGAGTTATAAAAGTATTTATGAACTTTACTAAAAATAAACCTCAAATTTATGAGTAAGTTATTTCTAGAGTCAAATTACCATTAGTAACCTTAGCTTCTATTAGTGAAGGTAACTTTGAAATTATGTACACTATATTGTGTCATATTAAATATATTGCATCCAAAGGATATAATTCTGTATTTGCAAGTGATTACAAATCTTTTTATTGTAGAGTTGATGAACCTACTTACATCAAATTATTAAAACTTGAAATTTTATCATTAATAGCATGTGATTTTAATTTAGGAGATATGCTTAATGAATTAGGAGAATATGTTACTGATGTTGATTAAGAGATTTCAAAAAAATCAATCTAAGCTTTAGGATCCATTGCTATTCGATTACCTGATTTAGCTACTGCAATAGTCAAATAATTATCTTCTTTTGTGACTCTATAAGATTACATCACAAATGAAGTAATACTAGTTTTTAAGGATATTTTGAGAAAGGATCCTAAACACATTAAAGATTGTTTAGAAATCATTTAATCAGATAATATTACAGATTCTAATTCAAAAATAGCCTTGATTTATATTTTAGGATAATTTGGAGCATAAATACCTTTAGCTCCTTATATTTTAGAAACATATATAGGTGCATCAGAATCTGTTGAATTAAAATAAACTCTACTAACATCTTGTTTAAAAGTGTTTTTTGTTAGATCACCAGAAATGCATTAAGTTTTGGGCAAGTTATTCTATTCAATAATTAACAATGAAAATGAAGATATTGATTTAAAAGATAGAGCAGCATTCTATTATAGAGCGTTGCATTCAAATCCTAATGAAGTCAAGTAACTTTGGCAATATAGTATCAAAGTTGATAAATTCCTAGAAGAAACTATTATCAATAAAGAAGCTCTACTTTTTGAATTCAATTCTTTATCTGTAATATATGAGAAAAATGTTAATAAATTCATTAAACCCATTGACTATTTCAATAATCTTAGAAATAAAGAATTATAAGATCTTAATTAAGAATAATAACAAACCTAAACAAATACAACTTAAGATTAAACCTCCGATGTTATTGAAAATACATAATCATAACCTTATAATTAAAATAATGATTTACTTGAAATTTCAGATTAACCTTAATAATAGGTATATCTCAGTGTAGATAGCTTTATAATTAATTATTCAATCGATGCTGATTATTTTGAAAATATGTGGACCAATTTAAATGATGGGTAAATAATATTTATTATTTATTCTAGTGCTACTTTTACAAGAATGCTAGTACGAAATGATATCGCCAATGAAACTGCTATGGAATAATTATTTAAAAAATATCGACTCTATAATATTGCTGCAGGAGAAGAAGAAAACGTCTTAAAAATGTATTTCTATGGCTCACACTAATGTTAAGTCTTTTTTGAATTTGAAATTAACAAGAATCTTAGTACAGTTATACTAAATACAAGATCTGAAATTGAAGATCAAGCTTATTTAGCTTCTAAATATGTTGAAGATTTTCTTAAATAAATCCGTTTAATTGAATGAAAATATTATTCTATTAACATATATTTATTTTAGAGTCATATTTAATTCAAAAATATATAATTTAATTAAAAATATGTATCTTATGAATAAGCAGCGTTACTTATTTTATTTTATTCTTCATTAATTAAACCGTTTATTAACTTTTTTTTATACTCAAAATTATTATTTTGAATTTACTCCAAAACATCTCATTCATAAGTTAAATGATAGAAATAGAAGGATTTTTAAAATGTATAAAAAATGACAATTTAGCTATAAATTTAATTTTTTTTAAAAAGAAGGGAGAATTGAAGAATTATAATAGTTTCTAGAAATTTGATAGCATTTTAAATATAATATTCATATTAAATAGAAGGGTAATTAAATTCACATATCTATTTGAAGATGAAAAAGTACTTTTATAATTACTTAAGTTTTGTTTTAGTGAGCTTATTATCTATATATTCATGAGGCAATATACTTGATTTTATATTTTTATCGAGTATAAAAGAGTTAAATTAACTTTTTTGGAAGTTTTGAGAATCTGAAATAAAAGATTCTTAAGCAATAATGTATAATAATGGTTATGTGAATACTTTATTTTCTTCATACCTAGAAAGAGTTTAGGATAAGTTCTTTTACATTCTTAACGTTTTAGCATATAAGTATGTTGGAAATGATTTTCATATCATATATGGCACAAAAATGAAGGATTTTACAATGAAATAAAATTTTTTCATGAACCTTTACATTTCATTCACATAATCATATAGAGATTTTTGTCTTATTAGAACAAATATATTAAATTACAATATTTCTATAAAGGGAAATTATTAGCAATAATAATGGAAATAAAAATTTATGAAGTTTTCTATTTTAATATAATATTAATATAAATAATGTCACTTTAAATAGAGACCACATTAATAAAAGAAAATAAATTAAAAAGAATTCAAAAATTATTTGTTGCTAGAAATTTAGCTATAAATGAACCTTAAACTTAGAGTGACAGAAATATTTTCTAAGAAATAAATGATGAATTCAATATTGATAAAGGTCCAAAATACAATGAAAAGGGTGAAATAATAAAACACTCTATTATAGGAAAACCTGATTGGTTCATTAAAACAAAATATGGTAAAAAATAAGCATAATTTGATGAATTTAATCTTAGATAACTCCCATAAAAATCATAAACTCGAATTGATTAAGATTAAAGATCTATGGCAAAGAGTGATGTAAGAAGTTTATAAAAAGGTGGAGGTTCTGGAAAATTTAAAAAAGATAAAAGAGATTAACTAACAACTAAAACTTAATTACTTGAAGAATTAGATAAGATATAAGATAGAATAGAAATAAATAAAGAGATAGAGAAAAGAAAACTTAAGTAATTATAAAAATTAAGATTAGAGAATTATAGCCTGTTATGAGATCTAATGCTACAAAATAAGAGAGAGTCATGGATAAACATACTAAAATTGAATAATATTGGAATGATTTCACTTATTAATAAGCAAATAAATTAAGTAGATTTCCTTCTGATTGTTAATTAATATAAGCTGAAAATTATAGAACTAGATTAGAAGCTGCAGCAGCTTTTGATGCTCTTAAAACAGATTATGAAAGATTTGGCCCAAGAGTTTGGTAAATGACTTTAAGAAAACCTGATTAATCAAATGAAATGTTAATTAAATTAAAAGATACATAAATTATTGTTGAAAATGAAAGAAAATATGATTTTATAGTGGTACTTTATATAAATAATAGTTAGGGATCTGATTTACCTAATGCTTTTTAAGAATCATCAGTTTGTGGACATAAGGGAGGTATAGAATATTATAGAAAACCAAATTTTCTACCAGATAACAGTTAATTAACAATTTCCAGTCGATTTAGAAAATCTTCAGATTCTGAAATGAATTAAAGTTCTCTTCCATTTAAAAGTTTTAGAAGTGAAGAATATTTAATGAAAAAAATAGAAAAATAAAAAAGCTAATTCAATTAATCTCATATGTTATCAATTGATAAGACTGATGGATATGATTAATTAATAATATTAGGAAAGAGTTAATATGAAATAGAGAAATAAATGTTATTAAATGATGGATCAGATAATACAGGGGTTTATCGTAAAAATATTGAAAAAATACCTGAAGAATTAACTAAAGAATAAATATATGAGTAGAATTTTACTGGAACATAAAGACTAATTTTACCATAGATTTATAAGAGCCAAATGTCAAAGACTAAAAGATAAGGCTCTGCAACTAGCAGAAGTTAAGATTTAAGCATTAGTTAAGATATACAAACAGAAAATTAAACAGTTATATAATGAATGGAAAGCTTTTGATTTTGTATTTCACATGATTAATATACTTATTTTATATTAAGCTTTTTCATTTTTTCTTATTTCCTCCTTTAGCTTAAGCAGCTAGCTTTCCACCAGCATTATTCTTTCTTAAAGCTTTAAGTTAGGTACTGAGGAGTGCACTTCTCTATTATTATTATTGATAATAGCATTACTCTCTTTCTGAGAATCATAACTCTAAATCTATCAAAATCTGTTAATTTAGCTCTTAAAGCTTTCTTGGCGACTTTCTTGGCAGCAAGAGTATTTTGATATTGAGCAATAGGGTCATTCTTTTTTATTGCCTTGGTAATGACACCAGTTCTAGCTCCTCTTGTTGCACCTTTAAGATTGAATTTGGTAAGTGTCAATCTTCTAATTGGAATTACTTATCTTTAAACTCCTGTAGTTGGTCCATCAATAAGGACTCTCTTATCATTCAAGATTTCAACAATTGTGGCCAATTTACCTTCTTATGGACCATAGTTGATCTTGACAACTCTTCCAACTTCAACAAACTTTGTAAGTACCTAGAAAAATTAATCGATGTTCTTACCATCTCTAATAAAACAAATTTTTTTTATTATTTAAAAATCCTTTTAATCTTTTTAAAAAGAGATGTTAAACATATATCATATATATATTAATTAATTATATTCATTTAATATAAGTCTTCTCTTCTAAACCTAAACATTTCTAATTATTCAAAAATCCACCTTCAGATATTTCACTTCTTTATATTTTAAATATATATATATAACTAAAACATTTATTTTTAATTTCATTTTTATTTTCTCACAAAATTAGTAATTTATTTTTTCAATTTTTTGTATTATTAAAATTTTTAATACAAAGTTTAGAATTATATTATCATTTTGATAAAATTAAATTTTTATTAGATTCAGTAGTATTTTTGAGTGTGTCTTATCAAC